TCGAATATATTATTACGTCGACAGCATCCAAATACTGTAAACAATGACTGAAATAGAGTGAAAATGCACAACAACCTTTTTTGTTAATAACAATAATAATAATAATAATAATAATAATAATAGCGCTTATACACAAATATTCAATATTTATGCATAATACACAGCACAACATCAACTGCACCCTTCTTTTGATCGAAAATCATTCATTCGGTGTCTGATTTTACTTTCAAAATCAAGATTTAGTAGTCAAATCAAGAGCGTTTAACCATTTGTTTTGAATGCTATGGAGACTTATAAACATATATATATATATATACCCTCATTCCTTTGTCTGACACATTGGCATCATTGATCTGTTAACAATTAGAAACCGGCATTTAAATTGTTGAGATTAAAGGTAGTGACTGAATTCTATCTATGCAGTCATTAATGAGCCAAGTGTCATATGACATCACATCTCCTAGGGTTACCTAACAAAAGTAAAATAATATTTTTGATATTTGCTCTACCGAAAAACTGGTGAAGTGTCGTGGAATTACTAATTATGAATGAATTTTACTGATTACCGGAATTCATCATGAGCTGACATGGGTTAGAGAACATTGGAAAACCACCCGGGAGTACTGCCAGGAAGATGTTTCGTCTGCGTAGTTTTGGACTCCGCCTCAACAGTACACATCCACTGCCAAGGTTCGAAACCACGACCCCCCGGTTACAAGTTAAGCGAGTCCATAGGCCATTAAGCCACTGGGATCCGCCAATTCAGTGGCCAGCCAGTCCATGATTTCCAACATCTGCCATTTCAGACACGATATAGCGCGACCACTTTGCATTAGCCAATGTCATAGGTGGCGAGTATTTGTCCTCACACCCAACCTGCTGTACCCCAACTGGTCACGACTTATTACTAGGACCCACCCAGGTAACTATATACTTGACTAGGGCCAGTCACATCAGACTGATATTCAAGTGTTGGCTTGCAGTAATTTGATTGGATTGGTTACTGGAGAGGTCGTGACCAGTGAGCTACAGCAGGTTGTTGCATGACGACAAATACTCGTCACCGATGACATTGGCTAATGCGAAGTGGTCACGCTATATCGTGCCTGAATTGGCAGATGTTGGAAATCATGGACTGGCTGGTCATTGGATTGGCGGGTCCCAGTGGCTTAATGGCCTGCGGACTCGCCTAACTTGTAACCGGGAGGTCGTGGTTTTGAACCTTGGCAGTGGATGCGTACTGCTGAAGCGGAGTCCCAGACTAAGCAGACGAAACACCTTCCTGGCAGTACTCGCAGGTGGTTGTCCAATGGTTTTCTATCCTATATCAGTCAGTTCATGATGCGATTCTGTAAAAAATATGATATATATCTGCGAATCGAGTGAAGCGTATATTCATTCTGAAACTTGAACTGGCATTATAAATACTGAGTGCAGTTAGTGTGTAGGAGAAATTAGATCGCATCGTTTTACGAAATACGTGGTTTCCGCTTAGCACAAGAAGGACAAGATAAATCAACTATCAGTTACTCCGACTGTCTCACAAACTATTTATTTGTGTAGGGTTTAACAGATTAAAAGGCATACGAGAAGTAAAATAAATCTTTTTGTTTTTATTCCGTTGTGTTCCCAGGGGAACATAGGGCTTCAACCTGCAGCTCTGAAGTTTGAGAGTAGAAGTGATATTGTTCTTTCTAAGGAGAGGAGGAGGCTGCTAGCCTCAGACTTACCACCAGCTGAGAGAGGTTTAGGAGTGCGTCGACCAGGGTTAAAACATTGGACCATGTGTGGAGTGGTTGGTGATGATTCTACTGCTGAATACCGCCAACGGACTACTTTTGTGCCTGGTGGTACTCGTCAGAATCTGTAAGCTTGAAGGAAGTCATGTCCCCTTTGAGAGCGGAACCCGCAGTGCTACAGCCAGACACGTCGCAACACTGGGCTTCTCGAGCTCAAAATGATGTGAACATTATCGAGTCGGGGTGCATACATATAGCGTACAGCCTGCTCAAACCTTGCACACGACGATCAGTGGCTCAATATCCTATCTCTGGTGACAAGACGCGATGAGAACATCATCAGAATATATGACGTGTTAGACACCCCGTCGTATATTTGCTTCATCATTACTCTGATTGTATGATGTTTATACAATAAAACAATTCAACCTTAAACTTAATGATATAGATAATAAAATACACCGATCCCCCGTACTTCGCGCATTGCTCCACTAAAGCTAAGTTTCAAGACTGAGCCTGCAGAAGACTATAGTGCACTGACAATTTTGTTAAAGAACGTGGATTGAACTACTCCTGACTGATATACGAAAGCAGTTAATTATGGCAGTCGACCGATACGAACAAGTAAAAGGCGAATCCTTCTAGTGAATTTCCATTTTCAATACAATGACACACTTTTGAAATTACCTTACACTATCTGAGAAATTGCTGAGTATCTGCAATCTTGGAGGGATTCATGTCCCTCCTAAGACTCGAATCCGTGTAATCCAGTGCTGCATTAAGAGACGTTACCCCACTGGGCTATTCGGGCTCACGATTGAACTGCTTTGGGATTGTGCTGGATACGTATGACACTAGTTGCTACCTAGTGGTCAACTGCGAGGCCGAATAGCCCAGTGATAGCGTCTCTTAATGCAGACGGGATATGAGTCACTTGAAGATTACAGATACACCTTGCTGATGACTGCAAACAAGCAGGAAACCTAAGGCTGGGGTTTCTCACCGATTACTTCCATCAACTTACTTACAGACCATACAGGATAAAAGTTTTGAACTAGCTAAATCTTAGACACGCCAGTAGTAGTGCGATTATAAAATACTCTCTTTAGAATGAGTGTCGCAATTAATTCCTTGCATATTGTTACTAATTTGCATTGTTTTCCGCCTCTTTGAAAGCTTCAGTCCTGAAATTAGTAAACTTTGTCATCTAAAATAAGGACTTCTCTGATACTTATATGATCCAGTTAAATGATGATGGAATAATAGAAAAGTAACATCGTAAGAAAAACAGTATTAGTGGAATGTTGTGTCACTCAATCCTGTGGGAATATAAATTAAAAGACTGCTGTAATGCGAACCTGTAAAACCCAGTCAAAAAATATTCATACTAGCAGTGTTTACTAGGTAGTACGATTAGCATAGTTTTTTTCCATGTTTTTAACCTAGTCCACGTAACCGGTCCTACATGTCCCAGGCTTGTGAACCATACTTGCTGTATAAGGGCACCAACCAGTTACTTACCCAGGTTAAAGTAGGCGGTACGGTATTTAAAACCGGGACCCTCTAAATGAGAGTCCACTGCTTAAGCCAGTGAGCCATGTCTTCATCAAGGCGCTAGTACACTAAAGGCTACCTTTCGACATAAGCCTCACGGATGACTTCATACTCGTATTACAATTAAGAAAAATGAATCCTTTAAAACAGGTTGGTTTTAGACACATGATTTTGGGAAATCTAATCATTGTAGTGCTATCACTTAGAATAATGCGGAGAAGCTGGAAGACAGCTGGATATATATGAAGCGAAGCAGTTTTATGTGTTCAATATATAAAACTCATAGAAGTGAACAGCTTTGACCCTGCTTTAAAAAACAGCGTATATCCCATCAAGTTAGTGAGATGGGGTCGATTTAGTGCTGTTATTGCTTCGACTGAGAGCTATGGCGACAGTAAAGAATAGACACGAAAGTCAAATGTAACCTTGAACCAGCCAGTCGGATCTCTGACCAGCATCACAAATGGATACTGTTCACATAACCATCGTTGCAAGTTTCACCCAGATTTGGTTTATGACTTCTTTGTGGGAAATGGGTTGATAGGATGGGGTAAAACACGCGGTGTGGTTGAGGGATAATGTTTCCTCAGAACTACTGCCAAGCTATTGATGGTTGGTTATACATTCAGATGCAGTTACTGCATTATATCAGGAAGTTGTTGGTAAGTTGTGAATTATACTGTGATGTTTTATACTTTCTTCTCGAAATCGAAACTCTGCCTTGGTAAAATGTTCTGTATATGCCATAATCAGCTTCTGAAACGACTAGCATCAGCTGTGGAAGCGGAGAATACTAAAATTTCAACAACATCGCAGTGGTATCAGCACAGCACTGTCGGGATATTGCCTCCTCACAAAAAATCAATGGAATTACGTGTGTACGTACTTGGAGGAATTTGTGTCGTCGTTCTAGTTGCCGAGACAGTACTTATTAAACGAAAAATGGATCGCCGCGAAAGGAGACAAGCAAAACAATGTTTGGGTGCTGGGAGTTTAAGATACAAATCTTCGAAAAGCTTGAGCAGTACAATGAATCCTGTCAAACATAAGTGCCGATGTTTTAATGATACCAATAATACAACCACTAACTAGTCCTCCTAGGCACTAACTACCCTTCACACCGACGACGAGTGTGTGGAGTGAGGTTATTCGCAGCTATCATCATTTGGCTATATTCATCATAAAGTCTAAATTAGTGGAATTAATACAAATTCTATTGAAGGATTCTGGACCCATCTAGAAACAAACGTATAAGAAAGGTAAATGATTCCCGTTATGATGTGGTATGATATACAGCCAAACATAGATGAATTTTGCGGCGACATTGGTTTGATATGTCTATAAACGCACTCCTATGAGAAAATGAGACCAACTTTTGCAGCATATACCCTGTATAGTTCATTTTTGTAACATATATACATATTATAAATACACTTTTTTATACAACAGATGCCATTTTCACCTAGATGAATCTGATTGGTTGGTTCAAGGTCATTCGGCTTTGGTGCCTACTCTTCCCTGTTGCCCGAGTCGTCCTTGTTTCGGAATTCAGTGACCAATAAATCCTATCTACCATCCATCGACGAATATACGCACACAACAAACACATACATGATGGATATTAGAAGTCAACAACACCACAAACGAGGCACCAACCCACATATTGATTGCTCAAACAAGAGAGAGAGAAAGAGAAAACCAGGGTGGTAATCTTTTAAGAAATTATATATTTGTTTGTTTTGGATGACAACTACAGATCAGAAGAATAAGACCACAAGGGAGGGGGAACAGGAAATTAAAAAAAAATACTGTACAATTTGGCGCATTAGTAAACAGCCATATATACACAAATTGGTAGGGAAGGGGGAAGCTGTCGGCATTTGATCAAAATGAAGCACTTTTCACATAAGGAGTAATGCGATAAGTAGATGATGACAATGCTAATAATAATAATAATAATTGGAAGCTTTGTCTATCACTGTTATTGCAATCCATATCAGAAATCGACCAGGCTTCATTCTAATAGGAAAACACCTCGAAATGTTGTGTCGTATACATGCCGTGTGGCTTCTTTAAAGAAAAAAACAATGACAATAAAAACAAAATGTAACTAACAGGAGACCTTAAACAAAATATGAAAATACACAAATATGTGCGGTGTTTTTTCTTTAAGGCTTATTATACGTAAAAGGATGTGATTGTTATGAGCCAAAGAAGTACACAATTGTACTTAATTATTTCATTGATAGAGGATAGTTTAAATATCCCCAAAAGATGTCATCATCTATAAATCGAATTTTTTTTAAAAAACAATCTGTACATCTACAGTGAAAATGCTTTCAAGTGTAAAAACGGTGAAGAACAATATTTTGGTTCTAAGTGTTATTCTTCGTTTTCAATAGGTGGTTTCTAAGGTCTAGATTTGTTTTTACGAGTTGACCACAGATTGATATCAGTCAGAGAACCATTGAAAACCAGGGAGTACTGGTTTGTCAAAATACGTTTTCCGATGTGACTGACTGAGTATTCGCCTTGAATATAGGATCCCAGTAAATGTGGTGCGTACGTGAGAGAACTACGGGTAGGACACACACTAACCACCCAAGTAGGTCGGGTTCAATTCCCGGTAGACTCACTCCTAAACCTTGCTTGGCTGGTAACAAACTCTGTAAAGAGAAGGTTGAGTGTAAGCTTTTCTCATGGGGTGGGGTAGTAACCCCACCCCATGAGAAAACAAGCGCTACCGAAACTTTAAAGTTTGAAGCCCCATTTTCCACTAAGCAAGCAAAGAAATGACATAGAGGAGGGGCAACAAGACGCCATGAAGAATTCGATTAGAGGAAATAAACAATGTAGCTCTTAACACTAGGAGCTGCTACCTTATGAAGAAATATGATAGACAATACAAATAAAAAAGCTTTCTTTGTTAAAAAGATTTTCGAAATCAATTCTTGGGAATGTATGCAATTCAAAAATATGTGACATATATAGACGACCTATTCACAATATTCTTTATGTACTTCAGAGAGAAATAATACTATTAAGCAGTGTACAGTGCATGAGTTACTTTTATGTACGCCTCAATACAGACTAGACCAGATGTTTGCTAACAAGAGATTACTCATTAAGCAAATTAACTTAGAGTTCGTCTAAAAAGGATGCTAGCTAGCTAGCACGTGTGGCTGAAAAAAGCCAATCACATTTCTTTCAGATAGCGGAGTTGATGTAGACTATTGTTTGAGAATTAGGTTTTTACTACCTCCACTATTTCAGCAATGAGCACAGAACATTTGTGCCTACCCTCTTTTCATTAGTAAGAATATACCGTCACTAGAGAAGAGTAGCATATATGTTTTATCTGACATTTTTTAATTAGGGGTTGCCATATGTGAGCATTTCGAAGAGAAGACTGACTGACTGACTGACTGGTCTCAACATAGAAGTTTTCAGAGATGTGCACTAGTTAAAGTTGCCACTCTCCATGTCGATGTAGCACACAAAGCAAGAGAAGAGAGTAAAGACAGATTCGAAGAGAGAGATAATAAACAGAAGTGTGAGTGAGGGGAAACAATAGTAACATGGACGAACAACAGAGTACTTTGATTGGATATGATAAATCACAAAGAAGGAATGCATCTGCGCCATCATCGAGGACGACGGTTTTGAGTCATATCACCAGTTGTTTCTAGACTTCTTCAGTTCTTACCATCCACCCCGAGAACCCCAACCAAGAAGTTTACACCGCCCTACGTGGCTAGCTGGTTCAAAATAACTGTTGTTATGGATTTCATTGATTGATGAAGACATGTTTTCGTCTCACCACCCATCATGTGCTAGCTCTTTTCCAATCTGATGCGTCCTGTCGGCTAAGACTGCCCGTCGAAGAAAGCGATGGATGGTTATGCATGCATGCTTAACACACATATCCTAACCATTTCACTCAATGGATGTAACTGCTTCACAACCTTGTCGATTGATTTTCCCTCCTTACCTAGCACTCACTCGATCGATGCCTCACCTCAATAATACTCACCCTATTATACCACCTAACACGGCCATAAAGGAGGATGGAGTGAACTGCTGAGCGGTACATACATCTTTTGATAGACAGCCAACCAGCTGGATAACACGTCTACTTAGCCAGAGATGCCGTAAGTCAGCATATGCCAAACTAGCCTTTTGTAAACCTGCCAAGTTTTCGTCACCGACTAACTCGCACAGGCTGGCTGATGCAACTCCCCAAATAACTGAAGTGGTCAATGCGCTCTACCACTTCACTCCCTATCTACAATCCAGCTAGGAGTGAGTCGATGTAGTCCAGTAGCATCATCATCTTACATTTGACAGGATCAAATAGCATGCCAAACATTCGAAGATTGCTGCTCAAGATGTTCAGAAGACTGTATTTCGCCAGCAGCTTTACCTAGGAGGACTGCATCATCTGCATTTTCTAAGGCAACGAGATTATTCTCTGGTGGGAAAAAAGTCAATCCCTGAGTCGTTGAAGCCAGTTAGAGTTAAGCCCATTAGTACATCTATGATGAAATTAAACAGAAATAGAGAAAGTGGGCATCCGTGACGGATACCACTGGTTCTCACCACAGTTGTCAGATGACAACTCTCCGTAAGCTCTCACCTAGCTGACTGCATGACTTCAAGTAGAGTACCTTGACCAGCGCGATGTTCAGGGAGCAGACGAGTGTCTGACCATTTTTTGACTGTCCATGTGATCTATGCATAGCACGACATCGCTCATCGATAACTGTGATTGTTTAGCTATATACCACAACACACAAAATGATATCAAAAAGAGAAATACGAAGAGATTGGAAAGAATGGGAAACTGTCTCTCTCTCTCTCTCTCTCGATAAAGATTTCCGAAATGCGAAGGGATTGCTGGTGAGCACATTGCTTACCTACACTTACGTATAAGACGACCATTCATTTTGAAATGTGGTTAACACTAGAAGCATCGATGGATTTTTTTCAAAAAAGTACTTGCTTTGTGTAGCAACTATCGAGTCCTGACCTGAGCCTAAGTATACCAACCGCTGCCAGTCTCCTAAGCAGCTTTCAATGAAATCAGCCAACTACTAAAGGCACTTACACAGATTAATAGTGAAACAAATAAGATTACAGATGGAAATATAAAGTTATGCAAGTTAAACTCTATTTAAAAACCTACCTTCTAATTTGCGTAAACCATCTTGTCTAATGATGAAAACCATATATACCTCACGTCCATTGGATCGTTTACAAACAATCCAACAATGAGGATTCAGTCTGACAGTGATTTCTTGATGCCATAAATCAGGCCTATAAACAAAAAATATTGAAAAGTCAAACGCGGGCAACCAATTTACGTCACGTCAACCGACCCTAAGACATCGTTGTAGCATCCGTACTAGTAGCAGGTTTGTAAAAAAAAATCGAAGATTTCTGTCCAAAAAAAATTGGACAACAGTTTCAGCAATTCGAAGTAGTCGTGAGGTACTTTGTCTGCTCATCAGCTTTGAAGATTCTAAAGAGTCGACCTGATGACGGGGTACAATACGATTTAGGCAGGGGGGGGGGGGCTAAACTTATCAGACGTAGACACTTTGACACATATTCAATAATCTTGATAGACAACGGTTACTCTGTTCTTCCTGTGTACTTACTTCCGCACGTATGTGTGAATTCACAAACGCGATAGCAGTTTAACCACAGTTTTGAAATACTTGCTACCATGACTATATTTGTTTCTGACCTTCTGCTACAAAATGGAGGAATTCTGATAAAACTCAGCCTTTGTCCAAACTGCATGAGCAGGAATCATAAAAAGGCGTCGGCGAATATTACAGATCTATTAAGTTGGGCAACACAGAAGCGAATATCCACTGGGATTCGACAGGGTTTCATAGTTTGATGTCCAATGCTCTCTCTACACTAATAAACTCACAAAGAATCTCCTGTAGGTTGGCCTTGTTGATCAGGTCGGCTCGAGTGAATAACTGCACCGGAGTCTTCTACGTATCTCTCAAAGACAACACATATATCCAACTCCCGAGTTTTCGCTGATGAGACATAAGGATTTTGTATCCTTATGGAAGTGTGTGGATGGTTTTTACTTCTTAGTTCCCCACACAATGGAAGTTGATTTCATCTCGTAGAATGTGAAAGAGTAGCCTGGTCGTAGAACTCAGGCGATAGCTGCTTGAACAAGTGACACAGTCAATTTGGAAGTGCAAGTTTTGGATTTTTCTCCGAACAACTGGCTACGAGAAATAGTGCGCAAACACTAGACCCTACCTTCTCTAACACTTCCTCCACAATGTGGAAAGCAGCATAGCTTACTCGTTTATTTCCCAAGTGAAACACCTTACTGATGTCGTTGTGATGTGCGTCAGCAGCACGACCTTACCATCAGATTCGCACAAAAGCCTAAGTAACTTATCGCATGGTGGTGACTGGTGCTAGGCTTACTGCTATCCACGTCGCCTACATGGTATGACAGGACCCGTAAGAACACTAGTCCTACACAGTCACTGTGACACGCGAATTCGACCGCAACGCAAAGTTAGCAGCTATCGGTTGGGAGTCGTATTTGGTCTATGTATTAACTTCGTACGTTAGAAAATACAAAATTGGACAACGAAATTTTCCTGTCAAAAAAACCAAAAACTAATTTAATTACCTGAGGGAAAATTCTTCACGTAAATTCACCATAACATCTAAAAGTGCTTTAGCTCCTTTGATTGATCGCTTTCCTGAACCGGTGTACACATGCAAAGTGGTCATTACAGAACAAGTTGATGGATTCCAGTAGATGAATCTATTTGTGTAGATTGAGGATAAAGGAGGATCTACATAGTTCAGATCTTCAATTGCATTACGTATTCCATCATCATTGATTGAAAGACCACCAAGTGTCGGCACTTTATGAGGATCAATTTCTGATGCACCTTCCATAAGGTGCAGAGGAAAGATGCTTTAATAAACAAAAAGAAAGAGATGCAGTGAATGAAACGTTTACATAATTATAATACGGACAGTAGTACTTTGATTCTGGTCAACTAAACGCAATGGACAGTGAACGTAATTAGTGATTTTATTTATTGGCCTCAAAACTTAACTTCCAGGCAGTCGGTCTCGAATTTGAGTACTGGCCCTACCTAATGTAGCCAGCTCTACTGCATTCTATTCTAAGCCCACACACAACAAGTTTAACTCATAACCTGGTTGATAAGTGAAAGGTCTTTTCCAAGTAACTGAGTTCCTATTAAAAAGATTACTTATTCTCATTTTATTGCCGGTATATATGGATGTGATACCTTCATTCTTTGTGAAAATGATTCACACAGGAACACAATAACAACTCAGTTCAGTGAAGAGTACATTCAGCAATCAAACTCACATGTGAAAAGGAATCCCAAAATAGAATTGACTGCCTTCCTACATGTCCTTCTTACAAGAAAATCAGATGGTAGTATTAAGAGACATTTGCATAAGCAAAGTATCTAGACAGGATAATACAGATACATCTTTATAGCTTTGTTCCTCTCCAGTAGAAAAGTAATTTAATAAGGACCCTCGGTTACAGCGTTAGACCTATATGCTTACAAGACGTAATTGAAGATGAACTTAGGGTTGATTGTATATGACACCTTCAATGAAAATAGACATCCAGAAAAGTTGATCAGGAAACACATGATCAAGAAAGCAGAAAAGAACTATTATCTATCTGTAAATATCAAGTCTTTAAATATACAACTCCAATTCAAGGTTGGTGTACCGACCAAGTGAAATAATTGCTAACAAGTTGAGAAAATCCACTCATCAAAGAACTTTTAATGCTGGTAAACTAGAAACCATATTTTCTAAACGACCAGTTGCTATTCCCCAATCGAAAGATGAAGTATCCAGACTAGACTAGCCACCTCTTCTTTTTGCATCTACCAATTCAACATCGCTTGTAGTAGAGCGGATTATATTCACGGTTGCACTAGTAACTTGATTTTTCATGCTCACTGACGAACACCTGTCAGTGCGGTGTGGCTAAATAAATAAAAAAGGTGTAGTGAAAACTGTCATCAACAAAAGGTTCGATATTAGACGAACACCTGGTGGTCCAAACCGATTCCCACTAGCCAAAAAGCGAACACTGAAGAATCCTTCTCCAGTATCATCATCTATTGGGTACCAAATAAATCACCAAAAGCATCCACGTATTGAATACTCTACCAAACAGCAGAGGCTATTGCGATTAGCCCAATACAACTGGTCCCTGTGTGCGTGTGCGTGTGTGCAGAAGAAATAGATCCAGCCAACCAGCCACTATTACTGCCTTGACTTTCTCTATCGAACCTATAGATTCATCAATTCTGTGTTGTTATTATTATTATTATTTTTCCTAATCTGTCTGTCTGATATTCAGTGTGTATTGTAGTGTTGTGTTGATGCATGTTATCACACTTACAGATGCTTTAGTGAACTGTGTTCTATTTATATTATTGATTGATTCACTGTTATTTTGTATTATTTATGTTCTCTGAGCTGGCTAATTTAATTACGAAGCTTCCTTCTAGACAACATTGTCAGCGTAAATCTTCTCGACTGATTTGACGTTATTTAAACAACATTAATATTGTTGTTGTTAATAATCCTAATTGTTTCATCATTATTATGAATGGATGCATATAAATCTAGAACCTAATGAAGAGCAGATTACCGAAAAGAATATTCTTTATTAATCCGCAATCAGTCCTTTACAATTCAATAAAACTTTCTAAAAACCGGTGGGTGCGTACTGATGAGGGGTCTCAAACTGGGACGAAACAGCTATCCATTACTCTCAGGTTTTCCAATGGTTCTCTAACCAATGTCAGCTCATTATGAAATCCTATAACCAATCAGTCAAATCCCTACAAACCAATACTTGATTAAAAGATTAAAACTGTATATTCTAAGAAAAATCAAATCAAAATACACACGCTATTCCCTAAAAACGTTTGGAATATTTATTGATCTCTGAGACAGACAGGAACAACTAGACTTCAGCAACTTAAAAATTCCATTTTTTGCGGCTGAACGCCAACTAACCTTCGCTACAAAGCCAATAATTCACATGTTGACCTCATCAATGTGCATCTACGTATTCACCTGCTGGTGTGGAGCTAGGTATGCCGGCTTTATCCAGCGTTTGTTATCTAAAAGTATCATCGAACACTTACCCTTATGGTTTTACAAAGGAGAAACAAGGCCCCCCTCCCCGAAGCTCTATTCTATAACACCTGATCGAATCAAAACAACAAGCAAACCTACAAAGTAACTACAAAATCATCTACAGAACACGTGGGAATCTTGCTAAAAGAGTTCGAGTCAAACTTCTTCAAACCTCAGAAGCAATGGCAATTCACAAGTTAAATCCTGAACTCTCTATCCAAAAGGAGAAGTTTGTTCAGTCATTAAATCCCCAATGGAACTGGTCTATCTTAACACCAAATAAGTCATTTTTGTTTCGTCTCTTTCTTGCTTGTTTGTTTCTTAGTTGTACAATATTTGCTTATAGGGATTTTTGATTAATTACTTACTCGTCTATACAGTTGAAAAAATAACGGCAACAAAGTAGGTTAACTACAGTTTCCATCTACAGGGACTGCAGTACAATAAAACGAATTGACAGTTAGAATCATAAGAGCTAAAACTGTGACTACTTGTTAGTAACATATACCGAAATACGAAAATCTCCAAGTAAGTTTAGTGTGTAATAATCCACACGTCTTCACTTCAACTTCAGAAAAACCGTTAGCATACAGCTTTTATAAGAAATAATCCAATAATTATGATCCCGAAAAGCAAATCTAGTTGGTGATGATCGCACACACGAAACCATGCTTGGTTCGGGTTGGTTGAAACATGTGGTAGCAAGGATTTCAGAGAATTTAAATCTGTTTCACACTGTGCCAAAAAGGCACATTTCACTGCAATAAAGTGTTCGAAAACCAGTCAGCTTTTCGAAATCGATATGATTGTAACATTCGGTTTGACAAAGGAGTTTGCTAATACCTTCGTAACACGATTTATCTGTTAACTACGTGTTTTTCCCAATTTGTCAACACTACAAGATATTTATCAGTGTCACTTAGATCAATGAATGGTCTGTATTCATTTACTGATCTTCATACTATGCGGATATAGGACCTGGAGAGACTAGAATATCCTCTGCATGCAAGCATCTACCCGGAACAAGCCGTATTCAGGAAAAAAGTAAGTCGTGTGCGGATCAAGTCGCAACGCTACGCATTACATCATCGTAAGAAGCGCAGAGTCGACTTTGAAAAGGCCTTCGACAGTGTTGACTGCGAAGTAATTTGGAAACTACTTCAACAGTAAGAAGTGCCCCAAACGGTTTTCAAACTCATTCAACGGCTCTATATATGATGATGCAACATGTCGAGTGGTTCACACAACGGAAAACTCAGAGAAGTCTTCGAAGTGAAACACAGGAATAAGACAAAGCTGCCTACTATCAACACCGATGATAATCCTGGTTGTAGTGGACTGGATTATTCGGCAGATTGTATGGAGCTAGAAGATAGCTATACACTGGACTGACAAGATCTGGACTTAGTGAATGACTCATGTCCAATATCTTACAAAGTTGATGGTCTGTAAAACAGAACTGACAAGGTGGTAGACAAGGCAGCAAAGACAGAAATTCAAATGTGAACAGAGAGAAGACAGTGGTGATGGACACATAGGACCAACAACACAACAATAAACACTAATCCCCATCAATGGGAGGAGTATAAATGAATCCGTTTCTTCCACTTACTAAACTGGGTAGCATTGTATGAATTGCAGACGATACAGATGAGAATACGTCAAAGCAAGCCAGCCAGCCATGATCATATCAGCAGAAGTAAGACAAGCGTTCATTACTCTGAAATCAGTGAGGAAATTCACTGCAATCAACATAAGGGACAAGATCCGCATCTTCAACACCAGTGTCGAATCAGTAGTCCTTTATGGTTCGGAGAATTGGTGCACGCGTCACAAAAAGGATTTCAGGCCGACTGCAGACTTTAATCAACAGTTGTAACCTTCACTCCATACTGAAGATCAGATGACCAAGCCGGAAGGGATAAGTAACAAGGAACTCTGCATTGCAGCGAACCAATCAAGAACCTATCGCCCAGTAATTTAATATGTGGAGAAAAGTGAAGATGGACTGGATATACGCTGAGGAGACCGTTGAATGACACAGCAAGTAAGGCCCTCGAGAAAAACCCGAATGTGAGACGACAAGTTGGGTTTCCAGGAGTGACTTGGAGGAGATCATTGTGGGGTGGGGCGGGAAATGAAGGTTTATAAATAACAGTGGAGCCAGCTAGAAACGACTGCAGAGAAACGGAGATGTGCTACTGAAGCCCTATTTTCCACTCGGTACGCAAGGGAATAATAATAGAAGTAAAAAATATTCCTACTTATTGAACTTGGTAAATGTTAAGTGAAACAATCTCTGAGAAAAATGGCATCATAATTGGCTCTCAGGATAGACGACTGGAACGTTGGGAAAGAACACTTTGAGGAGCAGTTTAGTTGGCCTACACCCACGCTCAACTTACCGAACACCCAACACCTCCCTGAATGGGGTATAGATACAGGTTCTCCATCCCTAACTGTCACTAGTCTGAAATTAGGCAAAGCAATGGGACCTGATGGAACGACTCTAGAGGTGTTTAAGGACGGTGGAGACAATTTACTGTCTGGGTTAACTAAGGTACTAGACAGCGTCTGGGTGTTATAGATAGTCCCATTAGGCTGATTATCCCAGTACAAAAGAAGGGAGACCCAGTTTTATGTCATATTCAAACTGCTTTTTTAAGTACTAATTGACTTTTATTTGTAAATACTCCAATTTTTAAGGTGGTTAACAAATATACAGCTGCTTACACGTTTACAGTCAAGTGTTAAAAACAACAACAATTCACAGTGCACCGTAATGGCAAGCCACCTAGCATGGTGGCCACATTGCAAACATGACTGATAGAATTCAGTCTGCACCGAAGATAGGACTAGACACATTACACTAGTTAATGACTAGTGTGCAATCAAAAATGTTAAAAACTTGAAAATATTATGAAATGATTCAGTTAAAGAGGTGCAGCCATCTTAAACCTACCTGCCACCCATAAAAGAACTGCTCTGGCTTGAAGCAAGACGTTCAGCTAATGAAGTTAAGCGTGGACCAACCATTTTATCAAATTCCACAAAAAATTCCATTGGAATTGAATCAGTGCCTAGAGTACAAGTGTTACAAAAGGAAACAAAAACATATCAGTTATTAATTCGTAAAAATAACATTTCATATCTCGAAACTATGACTTATCCATTCTTATCCAGAGAAGTAAAATTTATCCTAAGTCTTTTCACAAATGTTAAACGTTATGAAATAAACAAAGTTGAAACCATGAGATCACGTATCCGCATTCAAACTTATCACCTCACCAACAGTGTTCAACCAATGATACAAATCGAGAAGCACAATGGTTTGGCTAGACGTATGGAAAGCCTTGCGGGATTAATAGATGCCTTCACCGAAAACTGTTCAGTAAACCACGAAATGCCAAACATCCAAACATGATCGTCATCATCATGGAATTTTATAGCGTAATTAGGGAAGTTACATTAGACCACAAAAGTTATCAGGCAATAATTCCCAAGAACCAGTTCATAAAAGCATAAATGTGCAACTACCCTCAAGGATAGAATATGCAATCATTGATTATACAGATATTAGCTTGTTTCCACTAACCGCTGACCCTTGTTCATAAGAAATTAGATACGCAAAAATCTAACTTGCCAGAAACACGAAGGTTTTCTCTCTGACTTTATTAACAATGACATGCCGAAGACGGCTCTGAAGTGGGATTTCTGGTGAACTAGAGCTGCACCTGCATAAAGACTATTTGACCTTTAGTATCCTACTCTGCGATAGCATCAGGCTATCAGTTGATGCTCAGTGTCTAAGTACGCTATGCCTCTTGTCCCATCAAAGTTTGAAATTCTGTTTTAGTATAAGTCGGAGCTTATCGTCGGACTCAACTCATTAGGTGACCCGTAGAAAGTAGTTGCAAAAATTTGTGTGTATAGGTTAATGAGAGTGCTAGTGGAAGTGTGACTGATGAAATTATCTAAGGCATAGCGAAAGCGAAAAAGGTAAACGATTATCTAGATCCCCCAACCAGCCATTATGTTAATTTAGAGATCATTTGTTAGCTCATACAACACATCGATGCGTAGAGTTTTGCTTTACATCTGTTAAACTTGGGCCTTCCCAGCTGAGAAAGTTGCTCAATTCTGTGTTCAATCACCACCATCTCTGTAGAATACCTTGCATCCTGCGGTTTGACCATGTAAGTATATACGAGATGCAATAAAGTGTTGGAATAGGGCATACAGTGTCCTATAACAGGTAATATCAATCGAAACCCCTGCTTCAATAGCCTGAACATAGTCTACAAGTTGCATTGTAGCGGCCCCTACATTTTTTAGTTTGTTAGTCCTGGGACTAGAGGTAATCGGTCGATGAACAGGATGAACAGAACTTGAATGGAGTTAATCTCTAGAGGTGCGCCAACACTCGCATACTTATAAGTTATCAGATGACTCAAAGACAAAAGCAGTGGCGAAAATGCAAATAAGTGGTAATTTCTGTCTTTCCTCTACTTCTGAAAGCAATATGAAGTAAGCAACGCTCCTTTGGGTGTACATCATAAGTATTCTTAACAGTTTCTGCGAGTGAACTGATTACGCCGTCACACTACTACACGTAACGGAGCATACATGCCCGCGTCCTGTACTTCAGCTTCAAGTAGCATTTTGATCTATCCAACAGTTTTAGGGGTATATCTGACCATTACACTATGAATATACATAATTTTCCCAGTAATACTTATTTTTATCAGCAATCTACTGATGGAATTAGGATTGTATGAACTCTGAGAAACTGACTAGCATTTAGGAAAATACCTGGCCGTGTTGGATACTGCCTTATGGACGCAAGCCATGAGAAATCATGTCTCCTAAATCCTCTGATTGAAACCTTCAGTATGTATAGTATGCTTTACTTTCCTATCAAATATAAGACGATTTTGCAGCATAGGAGTGAAGTGAGTTATGCGTCAATTACTTTACTTACTCCAGCATTTGAATTAGTTCAAGTGGAGTATGTGCGGATGAAACGCCAGCACAAATGAAGATGTTTCGAAACTGCTTACCATCATTTAGTAAAAAGCAGCTGGTCGGGTTCCGCTTTACAACTGTATTAGTCATTACAAATAGGTTTTGGCAGGTAAGTGCATTTGTTCCATTAGTCAAGTCATATGGGGGCACGTCGTTTTTGACAACGAAACGAGACGCAGTTCATTCGACGTTTTTTCCACGCCACGTCACTATACTTTGCCAAATAGGACAACAGGCATCACTAGCCAAAACTCTGGCATCCCGAGCCATTGATGTATGTTGTGTTTCAGAAACACGCATACAAGACCCAAGTGTGGTTATTCGCCTAACCCCACCTGGCCAACAGGATGAATCTGCAAAATTCACCTTGAGGGTGTCAGGAGATGAGACGGCTAGCTCACGAGGATTAGCTGGTGTTGGGATAGCTCTGAGTACTAGGGCAGAAAAGACATTACTTGACTGGATCCCGGTAGATAGCCGAATGTGTGCTGTCCGTCTGAACGGATCAGTGAAAAGGAGAAAGGACTGCACTACTCGCCGATGCCTTTTCGTAATCTCCGCCTACGCCCCCACTGACTGCAGTTCCGATGAAACGAAGGATGAGTTCTACCAAAAGCTGTCTAGTTTGCTGCGAAAGGCTAAACGCTCAGATATAGTCGTTTTAGCTGGTGACTTTAATGCTCAAGTGGGGAAATTGTGTCAATCTGAGAAGAATGTCGGTGGCACATACGGAATTCCGTGCCAGCGAACCGACAACGGTGACCGTCTCCTACAGTTCTGTTCAGATAATCACTTGTTTCTTGTAAGCACTAACTTCAAACACAAGGAGAGACACTGTTTGACCTGGCGACCCCCATCATCAAACCAACGCTGGACACAAATAGACCACATAGCAATAAGCTATCGTTGGCGTGGGTCGGTAGGGGATTGTCGCTCCTTCTGGAACACGTGTGTAGATACCGATCACGCACTGGTCCGCGCTCGTGTGTGCTTACGACTGAACGGACGTAGGAAACAGCTGGCGGTAAAACCATCACGTCCCCAGCTCGATCAGGAAACTAAGTCCCTATTTGAGGAAGAACTAGCTAAACACATATCTGAGTTCGACAGCTGCGCTCACCCTGAAGAAGCCTGGAAGAATATTCAATCAGCCATAGATACAGCTGTAAAAGCTGTGAATAAGGTAAATCCAAAGGTGAGTAAAAACCATTGGATTTCGACTGCCTCATCCGAACTGATAGATGCTAGAAGACTTATTCCGGCGAGCTCCGAATTCAATGAGGAGCGAAAGCTGCACAAAAGGAAACTTACGAAAAGTCTCCGCAAGGACCGTGAACAGTGGTGGTTGACAAAGGCGAAAGAGATGGAAAAAGCATCGGCGATAGGCAACACTAGGCAACTCTTTAGACTCATCAGGGAAACGGGTGGGAGAAGGCAAATCATAAGTGAGACTATTTGTGAGAAAAATGGCTCCTTAATTAGCTCTCAGGATAGACGCCTCGAACGCTGGAAAGAACACTTTGAGGAACAATTTAACTTGCCTACAGCCACACTGAGCCTCCCCGCCATCCAGCACACACCCGAATGGGATATAGACACTGGCCCGCCGTCTGTAAGTGAGGTCACCAAAGCTATCTGTAATTTGAAACGAGGCAAAGCGGCAGGACCCGACGGAATTATTCCGGAGGTGTTTAAATATGGGGGTGACATACTAGTATATAGTTTAACTAAGGTACTAGGTAACGTCTGGGAATCAGAGACGGTTCCATCAGACTGGGGTAAGTCACTTATTATACCAGTATTCAAGAAGGGAGATAAGTCCTCATGTGATAATCATAGAGGAATCAGCCTAACGAACATAGTCTCTAAAATCCTAGGCTCAGTAATCATGAACAGACTAAGCCGAACTCGGGAGGAACAAACGAGGGAAAATCAAGCAGGCTTTAGGCCAGGTAGAGGGTGCATAGATCATATCTTCACTCTCCGACAGATCCTAGAACATAGACACACTTTTAGGCGTCCAACAATTGCCATATTTCTTGACTTGAAGGCGGCCTTCGACTCCGTGGATCGAGAGGTACTATGGCAATGTTTGACTGTGAAGGGAGTGCCAAGAAAGTACATTGCACTAATCAAGGCACTCTACTCAAACTCACGTAGCTGTGTAAGGGCTTATGGGGAATTGTCATCTGAATTGATAACAACCAGTGGTGTCCGTCAAGGATGTCCACTTTCCCCTTTTCTGTTTAACTTCATCATAGATATGCTAATGGAAGTATCCTTAACTGAACTTAACGACTTAGGAATCGACTTGTTACCAGGGAATAGTCTTATAGACTTAGAATACGCAGACGACATAGTCCTGTTAGGGGAGGATGCTGACAAAATGCAGAGTCTTCTGAACACCTTGAGCAGCAATCTTCGTATGTTTGGCATGCGATTCGCCCCTGTAAAATGTAAGATGCTGCTACAGGACTGGACTACGTCAACTCCTAGCTTAGTGATAGGGAGTGAAGTGATAGAACATGTTGACCACTTCACCTATTTGGGAAGTTGTATCAGCACCAACGGATTGATTGGTGACGAAATCACAGCACGGATCCAGAAAGCTCGGGCTGCTTTCGCTAACTTACACCGTCTCTGGCGTAGGCGTGACATCCGGCTATCAACCAAGGGACGTGTATACTGCTCAGCAGTTCGCTCCGTCCTTCTCTATGGTGGTGAGACGTGGCCATTGAGAGCGGAAGACATGAAGAGATTGTCTGTTTTTGACCACAGATGTTTACGATCTCTTTCTCGCGTTAGGTGGTATAATAAGGTAAGTAATGTTGACGTTAGGCGTAGAGTGTTGGGCAAAGAGGGAAAATCAATCGACGAGGCTATAAAGTTACATAGATTGAGATGGCTAGGTCACGTGCTGCGCATGCCTAACCATCGCCTCCCCCGACGGGCATTACTAGCTGATATAGGTGCAGGTTGGAAAAGAGTAAGTGGTGGCCAAACAAAAACATGGCATCAATCCATGAAATCCCTGACAGTTAAACTGAGTCAGGTAGGGAGATGCAGACTTCCGGGTTGGGGCCCTCGGGACTCTAAGAATCAATGGCTGGAGACAATAGGTGACATGGCTCAAAATCGTTGTCAATGGCGCAGATGTATTCAGTCTCTGTAATCTTTCATATTCCTTTCTACCATTACTCATTCTGTTTCACTCTTATACTTGTCAAAACTCTATTGATTCTCTTCACTCATCTTCTTGTCTACCTTTGTGTGCTATTTGGAACGTGGCAACTCGAACTGCTGCACTTCGGTGCCAAGTTCTATGTTGAATCCAGCAGCAGCAGCCACGTCACTATTCTTTCTCCATCACATTTCTGCTTATTATCATTCTTTCAAATCTCGTTTTTTTTTCTCTCTTTCGTCTTCCTTTTTGTGCTACATGGAGGTGTGACAAAACGAACTGCTACACTTCTGTGCAATTCTTCAATCAGCCACTCGATAAGGAAGACTAATAAAGCCGTTATTATTGTTATTATTATGATTAGATTATGGTTGGGGATAAGTTATCTGTCAATCACTGAAGACATGACCTGGTGAACCAACTTCGGTGCAGAAGTTGAATTCAAGTGTACAATAGCTAAAAATGGTATCAATCTAAGAAGTCTGTTACCGTTCTCTTCTAAGACATACTTTGCGTAACGGAGCACATTTACTATGCCCTGGATGCATTTACTACTTCTTCGACATTCTAAACATGTTCATGAAATTCTTCCTTTTTCTTTCATCTATTTTATCATCGTCATGTTTGTCTTTTTCCAATGCTGTTGTGTTTCAAAAGTAGCAGCAGTTCACTCCATCCACGGTTACAGCTGTGAGACGTAGTCATTGAAACTGGAAGATATGAAAAGCCTGGTTAGCTGTCTTTGATCATAGGGACAGTTGCATTCTATCGCCCGTGTTTAGTGGTAGAATATGGTAAGCAATATTGAGGTCAGGTGTGGAATGTTAGGTAAGGAATAGAAGCCAGTCGACTATGTTGGGGAGTTGAGTTGACTGAGATGTGTAGGACGCGTGTTGCGTATGCCGAGTCTTTACCTTCCTCAATGAGCAATGTTAGCCAATATAAGATTAAGTGAGAAAAGAGTGAAAGTTGGTCAAACTAAAACATGGCATCAGTTCATGAAGTATTTGACATTTATTTTGAGCCATGCAGGGAGGTGTAGACTACTGGCAGGCTAGCAAGGGACCTCATCAGGATGCTAAGAGCCAATAGCTGGAGACTACTGGAGATTTGTCTAAAAAGATTGTTCTGAATGTAGCATCTCCCAAACCGGAAATTTTCCATGTTATTATTCTTTCTCTCCGTGTATTTCTGCTTATTATAGTTCTTTCAAATTTTCTTTTTTTCTCTCTTTTGCCCACCAATGTGCAACAATTTGAACTGGTGCACTCTTGTGTGAGGTTCTATGTCGAAACTCAATCAGTCAACCAGTAATGAGTATTTGTAGCAGTTTATACTTTGATCGGACACTCAGTAGTAACTACTGTGATGTGTCTAGTCCTTTCTTTGGTGCAGACTGAATTCTACGAGTTCGAATACCTCGGCTGTAACATCTCAGACAGCAGCACTGGGAGACACGAGTTTGAATCTCACAAGGAACATGAGTTCCTCTTCAAGGTTGCAGATACAGTCCAAGGCTTACTGGTGATTACCTCCAACAACCTAATATCAGTTTATTCATTATTTGACTGGTTTCAAATTATGACGTAAATTGACATTAATTATGGAACCAGGAAGTAGTGAACAGCTGTTTCGTCCTAGTTTGAGATTTTTCAACGGTGTGCAACCAATAACCCAGGGGGGAGAGGTCAAACCCAGGGCCTTGAGGTTATGCGGCAAGGCCATTAAACATTCAGTTCAGCCAGTGCCATTATTTTTTATGCATTTCAACACAAAATCGGTACAGTATATGTATTAAATGTGAGCTAAACAAACCGATATGTCTGTCTGTCTGGATTCAACATAGAACTTGGCACCGAAGTGCAGCAGTTCGAGTTGCCACGTTCCAAATAGCACACAAAGGTAGACAACAAGATGAGTGAAGAGAATCAATAGAGTTTTGACAAGTATAAGAGTGAAACAGAAGGAGTAATGGTAGAAAGGAATATGAAAGATTACAGAGACTGAATACATCTGCGCCACTGACAACGATTTTGAGCCATGTCACCTATTGTCTCCAGCCACTGATTCTTAGAGTCCCGAGGGCCCCAACCCGGAAGTCTGCATCTCCCTGCCTGACTCAGTTTAACTGTCAGGGATTTCATGGATTGATGCCACGTTTTTGTTTGGCCACCACTTATTCTTTTCCAACCTGCACCTATATCAGCTAGTAATGCCCGTCGGGGGAGGCGATGGTTAGGCATGCGCAGCACGTGACCTAGCCATCTCAATCTATGTAACTTTATAGCTTCGTCGATTGATTCTCCCTCTTTGCCCAACACTCTACGCCTAACGTCAGCATTACTTACCTTATTACACCACCTAACGTGAGGAAGAGATCGTAGACATCTATGATCAAAAACAGTCAACCTTTTCATGTCTTTAACAAACCGATATAGTAACAATATAACTAGTAGGGAAAAGGTTGGTAGATAACAAAATGAATATCAGCACTTTAGCTTTCTACAGGTTATCTATCAGGAAAAAGGGGTCACGTCGAAACGATTGCTATCCAGTTGGTAACTTCATTTCAAAGCACAGCATTCAGTGAAGCATTAGAATGGCCATGAATGGAGCTACTGCTAAAAAAAGCCTTTAAAGAAGCTACCTACTCATGATTGACGAATCAATTTATGCAATCGAAATTATAGCTTCTTTTTTCTTCTAAAGAAGAGTTACATAAATGAAATTTGAAACAAAATCGCACACACACACACACAGGAACAAACATTTTAACATTTTAACTGACTTTAAAGCCCACCCGACAAAAAGAAACAACAACCGTTAGCTAACCTACAAGTCTAGTCTCAACTGATACTTGACAAGAAGTAGAATAAAAAGTATTTTATTTTGAAGAAAGTTGATGTTGAGTCGTATACGAATCACATTTTTATTTATGATATGTGTTATCTGTGAAGTCTTGATAAATCAATAAACAGTAGCAAATATATGCACACAAACAGACGCACACATACACTTACAAATACGCAAACGTATGTAGAAATGTAGTAGCAAGAAGAAATTTTCACTGATTTCTAAAATGCATTGCAAGATAAGAATTGTATATATATTATATATCATCAGAAATGTGTTAACGTCAGCAAGCTCGAGGGATGGATATAATGGAAGAAAGAAGTCGACACCAAGACATAACAAGAGGAAATGGAGCCAAGAAGGTTGAAGCGGTCGGTTGCGCTCGATAGTTTCTAATGGAGGGAACGAGTGTGGTGTGTGCTATAAACAAGAGCTTGTAAACAGTACATTTCACTGGTGTCTTCAGCGAATATCTTGAATAACAAAGAGGGCCACTGAAAGTGGAAGACATGAAAAGGTCGACCGGCTAGTAGTCTTTCATCATAAGTGTCTGCGTTTTATCTGCCTCCCATGTTAGGTGGTATAATAGGTTAGCGAGGCACCGGTCGAGTGCTAGGTAAGGAGTAGGGAAAATCAATCGACTAGGTTGTGAAACAGTTACACAGATCGAGTGAGATGGTTAAGGTATGTGTTACTCATGCATGCCTGCCTACCCATCGAAAGCCTTCCTCGACTGACGGGCAATGTTAGCTTAGTTCTCTAACCGATATCAGTCAGTTCATGATAAAATCCTGTAACCAGTCTCTTCTTTGATTTAGAATACCTAAACCACTATCAAGTGGTGAGTGGAAAAAAAGAGTTTATTATCTTAACAAGCTTTCGAAAGTACATGTTTTTTCAAAGTAGCATTGATGAATTATTTGTTTGTTGTTTTCTAAAAAGCAACACACTTTGTGAGATAATTGGCGCAAACGAGAGAGAGAGAGAAAAAAGTGAATACTCTTCCACTTACTCTTAATCAATAAGCATAGAACAACTCTCAATGCTTGATAGGTGATCAATTGACAGTTGGGTAGTTTAGAGTCAGGTGAACATATCAGTGGACATTTAACCTGTTGAGACAAATCAGATAAGTCTTTTGGACCGACTAGATACCTGAATAGAAGACAAAAGAAAAACAAACAAGCAAAAAGTGAATCGATAATAAGTGATAATAAAAGAAGATAGGTAGTTTATGGTTTGGTACTCTGAAGAAGAAAGAAAAAAACAAAATTAATACTTCTCTAGTAAATACCTTTTTTAATAGCACAGTACTCATTATAACCAGCTAACACTAATAAACAAAATGCTGTAACTCGAAGGGTGTGGAAATAACCTACATCCTTATTGATTCAAAATCTCTTTGTTGTTCCCTTGAGTTCCAAGTGGAATATAGGCCTTCAACAGCACATCTCCAATTTGTCCTATTCTCCGTAGTTCACTTCAAATGGCTCCACGATTGCCCATAATCTCTCATCTCCTCCTCGCTACACGGTCTCCACCATGTCACACTCAGATGCCCAACTCGTAGTTTGCCATCCGGGTTCCATTTGAGTGATAGCCTGGCGAAGCCCCCACCACCACTGGCGTATGTTTGATCCATCTCCATATTCTTAGAAATATTTGTTGCTTTGGCAATATGTTCTGGGTTGGTTCGTTCTCTGAGTTTCTTGTCGCTAATCCGTTCCGGTTGGCCTTTTGATCTCTACCACGGAGAGAAGGGAGCTATTGATAAGAGTCTGCAATGGTCTGTCAGAAATGCTTTTCGTGACGTGTCAAGTTACTGACCCATATAGAAGAACTAACTTAACATTGGTGTTGAAAATCCGACTCTCGTTGTTTATGCTGAGGTGGAGTGCAGAAGAATCGAAAACTGATTTCAAAGTGAGGAGGGTCTGTCTTGTCTTTCCAATCCTGGATATATATATAAATATGTATAGTTGTGGTAATTACGTTTTATCTTGTTTCCCTTAGCATCACCCTTTTCAGTTCGGAATTTTATTACTTTGAGTAAGAAGAAAGTGAAAGTGTGTGACGACCTAGAAAGCTTTCTTGTGCTTACAGAATTGTGTGGGTGGTTATTACTTTCGGCTATCTACACCGATTCTTACTAAAAATACCTGAAACAGGAGGGAGATTAGTGTTGCGTGACTGCGAAGCCTATAGAACAGCTGTCTGAAGCCAGTCACACATGGTCCAGTTTAAGAGTAATGTCCGTATGCAGAGCTTACTGCCGGCTACGGACCACCATAAGATTAGTCGAAATGTATCATTCTCTATTGTTGTGGATCTATACTAACCCACTACCCCACCGCCTAGGGAGAAACAGACAGCATAGCTGGCTTGCTGATCTTCCAGGGTAACACCTTACTGCTGTTAGATCTCTATTAGTCAGTAGTACGATTTCGCCCTCAGATCTTTCATTACAACTACTATCCAAACGACTTTCCTGGTATGATAAGACAGGGTTAGAATATTAGTCCCAACCAGTGTACCTCATCGAGTCATTGGGATACGCAAGCCCAACCACCACATAAAGGTAACAACTATCGGTCGGGCTTTAAGAAAGACAGAATTACACTGAATCCAACTGTTATACCATCAAAATATCCATGTCATTTTCCAACAACAGTCTAAAGTACATTCTATTACAAAAATGTATAGCCAATGAAATGAGATTATAGAAAAACACTGCAGATACCCAATCTATACTGCCTTCAGACTGTTGCGTTTACTGGAGTGGCAAAATTAGGATTAGAAATAAGATAACTAACTATTGATTACGCTGAATGATCACGACTATTCATTAGAACCTCCAGTCAGTCTACTTCGGAGTCAGTCACTAGTGAGTGTTAAACTAGACAGGGCAGTCTCCTTAACCCTGTTTTAGCAGACATCTTCATGTCTAACCTTGAGAGAACCAAGTTTGTAAACATGCAATCGACGAAATAACTTCTTATTGTCGATATGTCACAGGTGATACATTTGTAGTGTGCAACAATGAAAGTTATGCATCCTACCTATTCAGATTATTCAACGACGCACATACAAATACTGAAGTTACTTTAGGGAACACGAAAATGATGGAAAGTTTCATTTCTCTCGTTGACATTGCCATACAACGCCTGAAAGACGGTAGTCTTCAGGAGTCAATCTACAGGAAGTCGACAAGGAATAGTTTTTGTCCAAATAGCTATAAACGAGCACTATTCAAAAGTCTGTTCTATAGAGTCAGAAGAATATGCTCTACAGAGAAATTGGAAGATGAATTTCTGATTTTCGAAACGATATTGATAAACAACAGTTACCCTCAGAGATTCATTAACAAGTAAAGAAGATATGAAGGCTGTAATGCCAAACAAATCACATTGGGAAAAACGGAAGCCTATCTTCATTCAACTAGATTTTGATGGTTATAATATTGCAGGAATAACCAACAAAAGATTGAATAAGTGACTAGCCAGAGCTTATTCAGTAGCTAAGTTGGTTCCCGTTTATTGGATAGCATGATTATTGGTGTTATCAAAAGTCAACAGATACCCTTCTCATGTTAACTACAAACTGTGCATACTAATTTACATCTATCTGAGGTAGGAGTTAGTTATATTGTGGGATGGGAGGAAAAGTCGCACCTCCGATTTTCTGAACAAGTAACGAAAAGTCTACATCTCTTACGGGAACAAACTCTTTCAATAGTGCCCTTGCCAGGTATCTTATTGAATACGAGTCATGAGGAGGTGGACATTGCAAGATTCTTCAAAATTATCAATAGGCAAAAGAGTTCACCTCTCCTCAAGTTTGCCGAAGTGATCTCCATCAAACGATTGAAAGCTGATTTATGTGTTCAGAAAGAAGCGCAATTATCAGTCTTTCCTTGCCAACCTGGTAACTGGATGCTTTCATTGTTTTTTTCATTTGATTACGTAAAGCCGAAAATTCTATTCTGTATTATTGTTTGAAATAAAGCTATTATGATTACCATTGTACGTGTACATTGATTTTTTGTTGAAATTTGAACTCTCTGGATAAGTATGTTAAAACAGTTTCTGTAAATAAACTCAATTAGTTTGTTTAGACTGTAAGCAGTTGATGACAAGCCAACGAAATAAATGATGGTACCAATTTACTCTGCACAAACCACTGTTGTTCTTGCTTTATTCTCTCCTTCCGGTGTTGATTCACTGGGGGATTTGATTGATCGCAACTTAGGTGACAAACTGACACCACATAGAGAATCATTAGAAACCAGGGGATACTTGACAATTATTTCACCTAGCACTATGCATCAATGACGCCACTGAGAATCGAACGCAATACCTTCAGGTTACGAGGCAACCTCGTTGACAATTCCTATTATTCTATAACTCTTTATAGATCGATTTTATATAGTAGATAATCACTGAGCAACAAGCGGAGTAGGTTTATCATTCAGCCTACAAAAAACTCCTTATGATGTTTATTTTTGTTATTTTAATCCTTTTCGCTCAAAGTGGAACATGGGACTTCAAGCTTTACTGTTTGAAGTTCCGGTAGCAGCTTGCTAGCCTAACGTCCAGCCTTCCCTCTCTAACGTGCTTACTACTGGCTACGCGAGGTTATGAGGATCGCGTCGACCGGGAGTCGAACCCTGAACCACAGGCGTGACCGGTGAGTACTCCACCAGTGAACCACCGACCCACTCCTTATGACTTATTAGAGACTAATGCTGAAAAACAAATGAAACCTGGTCTGTATGTTATAACCAAGCATTTAAATAGCTGACAGTTTAACTGATTTTTAAAAGTAGTTGGAGCAGGAGGAACACTCACACCAACCCAAAGTGACCAGAATGCATCTTTCAATTGCCTTAGTACAGCAATAATTGAATGTCACCTTGATCTCGGTAATTTTTAAGATAAATCCCACTTTTATTTCAAGCATACTTACCTTCCTAGGTGTTTAGATTTTGTCATTGTAGTAGATGTTGCTGCTGAATGCGTTAAATCTGGTTGTTCAATGAATAAAAAGGAGTTCAGGTAGTTATATATATAACGAACGTAATTTAAATCCAGAGAAGAACTAAAGTATTTTGAGGAAAAGAGAAAGAATGAAATGCAGGAAATGTAACATATTCCAAGATCATAATAATAATTATTATTATTACTATTCCTATCTTATGTAACTATTAAACAAAGTATGATGCAATTGAGTTTCCTGAAGCTACTGAGTTGATTCAGAGCTCTCATTAGAAGACCAAACACAAGAGGCTCATAGTTAAATGAATTATATGACTTCTAATGCCACTTTTACCTACACTTGTATAAATTAAGGAATTGACATCCAGTCTATCACAGTGCCCAAGTTCTATTCTTATACGACAATCACCATCCTTAACATGTCACATTAAACATAATTCGTCCGCGAAGTCCACGTCTTCTGGATTCTTCTTGTCAGTTCAAAGTATTCCTATCGTCTCGCTCCCATATGCATGACCTGGTCCATCAAAATCAAGAATACCATCGGTGACAGTAGGCGGCCTCGTCTTACTCCTGTCTTCACTTCAAAGGCTTCGCTGAGTTTTCTGTTTTGGATCACTTTACATGTGGCATCATCATATGACTGTTGAATTATGTTGATAAGGGTTTGAAGCAGTTTTCTAACTACTTCATGGTCAACTCTGTCAAAGGCCTTTTCAAAACCTAGTCCATGCTGTGTTTGATTATGATCCATAGCACTGCTGCCTGATCAGCACATAATTTACTTTTCCTGGATCCAACTTGTTTCGGGCGGTGGTTCGCATCGAGAGCATCTTTTAGTCGCTTCAGGATGACACAAATTAACATTTTGCTTTGTATGGACGGGAGCATAAATCCGCGCTGATCCTTTCAAAAGCCTAAGTCGTCCTTCTTTAGGAGTTTGGTAAGATAACCTCTCTTTCTACCAGTTGGTACCTTTTCTTCCTTCCAGACTTATTGCAGTAGCTGTGTGAGAATAACTGCCGAGGTCACCGGAACCGTTTACAACGCTTCCGGAGGAATTCCGTGTGATTCTACTGCCTTTCCGGCCTTCAGTAGCCTTACGGTATCAACAACGTCTGCTTCTGGTGGAAGATTCGTGTTTACTGGCAGTACTATGGCTACTTTTAGTGGTATTTGTGGATAAGTTGCATGTGGTGGTCGGTTCAAGGGTCCTTTGAAGTGATCAACCAACTGTGCCCGTTGTTCCTCCTCTTTGGTAGTTAGGTCCACTTAGCTATCTTTCATTATTTTCATCTGTGTTAGTGTCTTGCAGAATAGCAATCTTGTTACCTGATATAGTGTTCTGAGGACCCTCTTACCTGCACCCCATCCCGCATCGGTTGACAGCAAGTCTTAGAATTGTCGTTTGTCTTCCCCAAAACTCTTCTCCACTTCTTCATTCAGTGAGTTGTTGATTGGAATCAGCTTCTTCTTCCGTTGTCCACCTTTGCATTTGTTCATCTCCTGTTTCACCATCCCTTTTCCCTCTATCAGTTTTCACGTGTCCGTAAGAAGTTCAAGCGGAGAAGTTAAACTAGGTTTTAGAAAAATTAGCTGGTAGTGCTTCCCGACTTCAAGTAAAATAAGTGGATAGAAGTGATTGTCTAATAAAAACCACGTTCAGATAACCACATTATCCCAGACAGCATCTATTTCAAAAATTGGTTAACACGTCAACTTCCTAACTCAACTTGAGTGTATGGCTTAAATATACATATATATATATATATATATATATATATATATATACTGTAATATCTACTGTACTGTAGAAAGTAGCAAGAACAATTATTAACCTGAAACCAAATTTTGTTACAAACAGAGGATTCCCGCAGATTAATCTGAGTTAACTTTTTCTGACTAGTTTCAAACACCGGAAAAGAAGAAAACCTTTTACACCTAGACCAATTTGAAGAAAAATGGAAGATGTGAAAAAGACGCTATCGCTAAGTGATAACTTTACAGTTATTTAATTTGTCTTAAGGAGAGGGCAAGTGTTATAAAGGAAAACACACGCAAAAGGTAATTGAAAAACTTATCAGAATACTTCATAAATTACAAGGTTCAACTATCCTAAAAACTCTGCTTTAGAATGACTTCCCATAAAAGTCAAAGCATTTTTGGTGGTGGTGATGGTGGTATGGTATCATAGTTTACACAGTGATATGATCATAACAAAACTATGAAACTAGACTTCATGTGAGAATCACACAACAAATGAAGTTTTATATGATAACCGGTTCCAGGTGATCTTGTTTGTATAATTCTTTCCCAGCATCTTTCACAATAAAGCAGCACACCATTCATTCAAAGTCTACAAGTAACTCACTTGTAGGATAGCGAATTGAGTAAGACAACCTTTACAGAACCAAATGATTATGGTAATTGGCTTAGAAAATACCTACGTTCATCTGAAAGCTTTGGTGGGACTTTGTCACCTAGTCGATTAAGCACAGTCCCTAGTGCCTGAAACTCGTATACTACAGATACCGTCACCTCGTAGATTTAAAGTCATGAACATAATGATAAAATTTATGAGCTAATGAAGAATAATATTAAGTTTCGAAAAAACTTACTAAACAAGTCTACCTTCAAAGAAAAATGCAGAATGTTCTATGCAACTAAAACCATATCCAATTCTACTAAGAAGGCCATGAACGCGACCGAAATTAGCTGGTTCAATAGACGTAAATTGAATCCCATTGAAGCAGTCCAATAAGTCACAGTGTTCAAAAAGCATTGTACGCAAATACTATGTGAGAAAAACAATAATAATAATGATGATAAAATAATACTGGAAAAATTAAACTTACACGCGAAAAGAAATGCTCTAGTTTAGCCTTCAATATTTCATAACCATAAGTTTCAACAACAGCATCAACTCTACCGTGGAAAAGCTGTGAGTATTAAGAAACAAAAGGGGGAACTACCTTACTTCAAATGTTTCACAAGCAGTAGCCAAAACTCTTTCAATAACTTGATAGTGTATAGAATCATCTTCAGATAAATTACCATTTGTTATATTCGGTGTTGTAGGTACAGATACAACCTGTAAAAAATATGTAAAAAGTCAGTATGCATGAATGAATATGTAAAAACAAATTTACAATAACAATCCATATATTTGGTGCCAATTTTCTAAAAACTCTTTTGGTCTTTTTCGTACAGAGTGATGTACACACTGAATTAAAAGAACTGCAAAATAAAGACAAAAATATATTAAACAAATAGATATACTTTGTAAACGTAACAACAGCCTCCGACAGACCAATAGAATTGAGTTTGTCATTTAACGGCTTTTCACTTGGAAAGAAGTATAAAATCTTCTCATGTTCCTGAAACAAAAAATTGAAGGTGAAGACTTAAAAAAATCATATGAGTACGAAATAAATGCATGGGAAATGACAAGTGGATAAAGTTGAAATCAACTAAATTACTTAAATTTCTAATTCAATAAAGTAATTAAATTCCAGTAGATAGGCGCCATAGTTTATGCCTCGCAAGAAATACTCGCTGTACAAAGGGAACGGATTTTACGACTACTTGGACCGCAGTAAAACGAATCGAAATATGTGAAACTAAGGTTTGCAACAGTTCGCGATAACACCTAGAGTGTAACTCATCATCAGCTAGAGAACTGGATCCACCACTTCAGTGAATAAAAGGATATGAGGATTTTGCAACAGACTAACGAAGACCCTATATCTGTAAATCAAATTTTACTCGAAATTTTAAGTGGCTGGCGCAGTTCGTCCAGCTGATTAGTAGGTCACCGGTGTTGGCAAAACTGAAAGCAAAATTTCCAGACAAGTTCACAGGAGTCTTATACTGATGAGAAACTTCTCAGTACTTCTCACAGACGACTTTAAGCAATTTTCTTAAGATCACAATACAATCCAATAAAGTCATTATGTACTCTTTTTCATGTATTTTTCAGTCCCTTTCAATTACAATGCTTGACAAGTAAAACACCAATCATGGAAGTTTCCGGAAGTCCCAGGCAAATTGCTTGACTATTAGCATGCGAACTTTGGAAACGGCCGTAAAACATTTATGCCACTCTCGTACTGAATTAAATCAAATAAGAAAATAATGGAGATTTGTGGGTGAGGCGGGTGATTTTGATGTGGTTGTATTCTCTGAGCTAGAATCAGAAAAAGCTTTGCTACTAAACCACCCAACTCACACAACACATCCACACCAAAAATAACCCCAATAACAATGAAACAAAAGGGTTGACAGAGAAATGATAAAGCGAACTTGCCAAATTCGGTCATTTCTCGACTTGTTTATGAGTGAAAGCCAGAAGAGAACTCTGAACAATATGCACGGTAGTGAGATTAATCTGCTGCTAAAAGAAATACTTATTAACTTTCAGTCCTCTTACAATGAAATAATCTGCCTGAACCACGCCCAATCTACGAATAAGGTATGTGCATTTTACTGTAATGATGCAGCTTTTTGTAAAATCTACAGTAACCTGTTGCCGTACCCTAACTTTTAGGTGAACAGTTAGGAGCAAGCAAAAGGTTTTTATGACCAATTGACTCTACGTGCCACATTGTAAAACACTGATCTGAGTTGAGATTTGAGTCCAGTTGTCAAAAGCAGCATGTACTTTTCTATGTTGAAGAAACCTGGTCCGTTCCTACTAAAAACGTTCAGAGACTCCTCTTGTTTGATAACAGATGACTCCCCAAAGTTAATTGAGTTCACTAGCAACACTACATTGACAATGCTTTGACCAGGTGTCTCTGAACGCACGACATCATCCTGGATTCAGTGATTGTGTATGTCACTAATGTCGTCGCAACTTTTATGGGGTTCATGCATTGTCGATCTAATGACAGTTTTTGCTAAGTCAATGGCAGAATAGTTGTGCTGTTTTCGCTTCTACCGATGAATCTCGTGAAACTATGCTATCCAGAGGTTTGAGAAGACATCAATGTTCTGGAATCTAAATCAGTGGTCTTGCCGTTTCATTGATTATAAAGAGATACACCTCTACAATTTCCCAATTTGGAATCTCAAGTTACACTTTAGAAAGCCTGGAGTAAGTTTTCTGGACAGCGAACCTTACGGTGCTCTAAAATCTCGGTTGTGCTCCTTGGTGATAGGAATGGCATAAAATTCTAGGAGAGGGTTTACTGCAAATGGCTAAATTTCACTGCCAAAAGATAGAGCGGACCGGATCGTACTGTTTGCAGAAACGCAGATATCTTGCATGGACCATAAGAAGTTCAGATTAATATGATCAAAAACACGTAGTCGTAAGCATAAGAAGGGTTTAACTGTCGATCATGTAAAATCAACCATCAAGAGCCACCTTTCACCATCATACTGTGGCCCTACTAGCAGGTCCCGAAATAACGGTAACGCGTTCATCTGCCGCTTCACAAAGCGAATATCGCCAGCTTTTTTTAAGCAAGCCTACCTAAAGACAGTTCAATTATCTTTCACACCAACCATACGGAACTCAGAACATATGGTTGAGTTAAATAAAATAACAGCAAAAGAATCACAAGTAGACAGTAACCAACGAACATGTTTGTAGACAATATCAAGAAGGTTGGGGTATTCCGGCATATACATCTCGCAAGAGTTCCCTAAATGTAGTAAACCGAAATCTCACCTCATGACTGATTATGACGAAGCACTTACTAAACCTCAATCCATTTCCTTCTAAAGCGAATTATCTCGCAGTACAGAGGCATATTAATCCAGTATCATCAAGCTGTTGATATATCGGGTAAATTATATCTTTCATTCACCCCAGCATTTGCCGGGAACCGTTATGAGTGTGAAAGCAGTTAATTACTAATATGAAAAAATTGCTACTGATATTTGCTTGAACTGTTGGGAAACAACAGGACTATCTATCAAATATAGCTTAGATAGACGCCATGGCGTCGTATCAAAGTTAGCCGGAATATAAATGAAACACAGAAGGAGTGAATAATTTATAACCCCTCTAATTTTTTAAGGGTAACATTTAATGAGAGTTTACATATATTTACATTGAGTCAGAAGGTGAAAACAAACAGTTATGAGTACCACTGGGACGAGTGTGCTGCTTCCTACCTGAGCATTGGCAACATAATTACAGCACTCCCAGTTGAAAACGCCTTTAAGGTTCATAAATACACTATTATAAAATCAAAATCTTGGTTTCGAAGTTGACAATGGAGGAAAATTACAATAAACTTAGGTTAAAACGTAGCTTTTGCAGCATGACTATTATTATACTTTTAATGCAAAAGTAAACGAAACATTAGAGATCTATCTTGAAAATTTTGTTCGAAAACAATTGTATCTTACAACTCCTGCTGCAGGCTCCCATGTTCCATATACAAATAATTCAAGGACCTTAGTACGATCAATAACGAACATGGCGCTACAGAAGATTCACCTAGAAAGGACCTTCAAATGAAAGAGCAAAACAATGCTCCACCTAAATGTTCACTTTGTAATGTTTAATTTCTATTTTTCAGGATAATGTAGACTACAGCTGTTTCTTTGCTGTAACATTCTGCGTAAATGAAATGACCAGCATTACTCTATTACAGCTATTAACAATAACTCTACAAAAAAATTTACAAATCCCCTTGAAGCTCCCACTCTACCAGTCAATCAGAAATGCTACACACATAATAAGTTATTAATTTGCTCTTAAACAGTCCTTTTGGTTCTGCTTAGATCTCGAATAATCTATTTTTCTTAACTTGTAATCTTTATTTCAGTACTTATGGAAGGATTATTCTGCCTATCATCTTAGAAATACAGCTTATCAACAAATTCACCACAACTTAGATGCATAAATATGACTGATTGGTCAGGATTACTGGAAGTTCGCTTTGTTTTACTTAGTCAAGAAACGAGACCTGACCACTGGTTGATACCTCAAATCCCGAATAGCCTACTTTGGGTGATTCCGATTGGGGTCTTGATGGTATTCATGTTAACTACGTCAATAACTCTGAAGACCCTGTCGGGCATATTTCCATAATGCTTTTTACCGAGTGGGGATAATATTCAGCAGTTTGGTACTCACCACTTTCAAAAGTTGTACGTCAATATTCCATCAAGTATATGTTCTCGCAATCATACCACTCACACACCAATGTTGAGGCTGAACAATCAGCAGAGGTACAGTGGACACCAGTTGAGGTTATTCGAGAGTTTTCTCTTGTTCATCGAACAACTTTGAAAGAGTCGATTGCCAAGGAAAACCCAGTATCGAAACTTCTTTAAGGGCGTAAACCAGAGACTATACACAACTCAACGCGTCGGTAGTACAGCGGTTAGGACTCTCACCGACCATGCACATGGTCTGAAGTTCTGTCCCCTGCCGACGCACAACAGATATCTATGGCCGGCCTGCAAAATTTGCGCTAACGATATCATATGCTAAAAATTCCACATTTATAACAAAAATACTGTGTTGTTTCAAGCTATAATAGAAAATTTAAGTATCTCAATACTGAAAATATGCGTCACGCACAGGGTTATTCAATGAAAGTGCCTCTCAAGACCGGATTTATGTTTATCCTGCAACTATTCTCAACTGATCTCAAAGTAAAACTTTCACTAATGCTGTGTTCCACATTGTTTTGGTTCCCTTTGCCGTTGAAATCAGTTATTTCTTCGTTTTTTCAAAGTTTCTACCACCAAGCCAGTCCGTTCATTTCGTCGTGATTATTTCGCACGTTGCCTCTATGCTTCATTGCAGTGTTACAGTTACTTTTCAACTCTTAGTGGAGTATTTTTATGCAAAATTTTCCTGAATTATACGCACTTACACGTTAAGGAGGGCTTTAGCTGTTATTTTCACTTCCCTTTTCATGGTTGATGCCTCTAATCATCACTGTGTCCCGGGGAAATCTGGAAATAAACAGTGACTCCCTCGTTGATGCTCATAGCATGCAATCGTTTGCTAGCAGTTCTCAACAAAGTACAATCTGATAAGATTCTCCACGAGCAAGGATTCCGAAGGACACAAAATCCCAGAGAAGTTAGAACTTGGTCTGAATTTGAGGAAACTTCTTAAATTCTCCGGGAGTTGAGCACAGTATACATCTGTCTATCAACAAATGACAAATATCAGTTATTTCGCGAAGGAATCTAAATTAAACAAGCATGAACGTACACTTGAATTGTGAATATGTGGTTACTGTATGGGCTTCTGAAAATAAAGTGAAATCGGAAATCATATAGGTGCCTCTGATAGGGTAAATTTGATCTCTATTCGCTAACGTTTTATATGCCAGATCTAAATGAATTGACTGCCAACCGCTGACATGAATCTCTTTTTAGTGCAATATATTCATCTTTCAGTTGGTACATAGGATCCATAATCACTGTTACACTCAAGAATACTTCCATGAAGAATGTAAAAAGACATAAATTACCGAAATAAGGAGTGGCTGTTGCAAAGCAGATGTCGAGTATTTCATCGGAACCCGATGAGTTTGCTGAATATACTGCGGAACGATTTAAAGACTAGACTATGCACAGCGATCTACGGGCCATATGAATTACTGTGGCCGAAGCTAAGACTTCAGCTAGCAAGAAACTTGTGGTTTCATATCGATTATTTGACAAAATCACAAATCAAGAAGTTGGTTATTATTCTCTATGAAAACACTGGAGTAATTCAAACTGCCGTACCGAGAGGTCATTTTCCCAGTCAACTTTCCATTTATTCTCACTTCTCATTTTCCATATGCATGTAATTTCTTGGTGCATACGGTTACAGAATGTAAACAGTTTTAAGGGACAATTTCAGCAAACCTTCCTTTTACCAGTAGACTTATTTCTCTTATCTTAATTGAAGAAACATCTATGATTGAGAACGAAACGCCTAATTCAGCGAAGAAACACCTTCCGGCGAATTCACTTTCTCACCCCCAGCTGTTCAGTCGAAATTTGTATGCAATTTTTCACATAGCAAGGTAGTAACAAATCTGACAAGTTGCCACAATCATGGCTGCTAATGCTAGCCAATAAGTAAAAGTTGGATAAGTGTATATTAGCTACGTAATGAGATGAATAATTTAACTAGTTGGTTGTGGTCATGATTCGCACAGAAGTAGGGAAAAACACAATTATGTAGGATTTCTGTGAAAACACGAGAGTTATAAGGAGTTAGAAAAAATCAAACGAAATTAAGCCAGTGGAATTCAACACAGTTGTTACCATAATAGTATTATTGGCTGAGTAGTTTTCTTTTATATACACAAGTCTAATATTCTCGAAAGAATGGTCAAAGCTTTAGCAATGCAAAGAGGACGAAAGCATGCTGCCCTTGGCAGGTTATTTTTTACTTTGCAGATTATTTTGAAGGAGGCATTTTTCGAGATGGAAAGACCTCTGTTGACAAGGTGTTCGATCAGCACTCTTCTTATAGAGCTATTTGCAGCTATTTGGGATGGCTTTTTATTTAGGAAGCCGGCTGATTAGGCAGCCTGCACAGATTCAAGATCGCTCCCAGTTGACTTCAACTAGAAATAACTCTCGTAACTATTGTGCGGTCCTTATTCCTGCTAGAACTCAGGTCTATTCACACTACCTCCTAATTCTTTAGCTTGTCCACCTTAACTAGTGGTCGCCCTGTTCTTAACACCGCCTCAGCTAGTGAAGGGAGAATATAACACTTACGGTTGCTGAAAGACGTATATTCTGGGGATGATTTGGAGAGATTTTATTAGGAGACAACCATATGGCAACGAAGCTTCCGAGCTGTTGTCTCTTGAACACCATATGTTTCAATCCGTGCGGATAAACACAATGGCTTTTGTTGGTGAAATGGTTGAGGTTCAGTTGAGTTGACAAAATTCTTTGATACCCTACAAGTGAACCTTTTTAAACAGGATACACGTCGAAATACCATTGTACCTGGTTCCATAGTGCCAAGTGACCTGCCACATGCACACATAGCAAACGCCACAGTCCGAGGTTATCTGAGGGTGAACACGATTTTGATCGTCGGTCTTCTAAATGAGAAGCTACTATTAAGCAGTAGTATTGTTGGGGTCGTCAAGTTCACTTTATTTTGAAGCTTACATTCAAACTCCGCTCCGTTAGTCATTTGATCTATTAGCTGAAGCGAAGAGAATGGTTGAATCTACGTTCGCATGAATATCAGTCGTCCACAGTAGTCGTCAATGGGTTCGTGAAAGCGTCCAGGAAGTGAGTCAGCCATTATGTCTTCTCTCAATGAAAGCTAGAACGAGAATGGGGACGCTTAATATCCTCATGATATTCATAGCCAGGATGGATGCTCAGATTGCTGAGAAAATGAGATATTTTATGAAATCGCCATAAGTCTATGGAAGCAAGTGGAATAGAGATGGATTCTCCACACTGTTAACTGGACTGTCAGTTACCTAATACAGTACCCCAGATGGCAACCCAAATCACACTCGCGGAGTGGCTATCGTGATGTCACAATCGTAAAGAAAGCTTCACATAGTGAAAACCAACCCTCCCCGGAATACTGACACTAAGTTTCAACCAAAAAAGTAGGAAGGTGAAAATTACCCGATGTATCTCTCCTACTCGCGATGAAGACCCAGTAAAATAGAAGGAAGTCTCTTACAAATAACTCCATATAGTAATGGATAAGACAACGAATGGTGACATCCAGATCGTACTGGATGACCAAGTAACCGGGTAGAAACTGTTTCTTCTTCGTGAATTGTGAGACTTTCTTTATCCACAGTTGGCGGCTTAAACGTCTTCAGAGTATGACACATTGCCATATCAACTAAGAAAACATGAGTTAGAAAGAGATCTCTTTTCACAAATTCGCTTCAATGCCCTTCTGCTATTTGGGGTGGTTGTACAAAACAATACAGACTAACCACGACAGAAGTCAGGGGTAATTGTCAGTTAGTAATAAAGCAAATCAAAGTGAGTGAATAACAACTAGGTCCGAAATAGTGAGAATAATCCCACTTGATCAAGATGGTTGAAAACTAATTATCTGAGTAATGAATAATAGTTTGTAAATGGTTGATTTAGGACAAGAGAACAAAAGTTTGAAAACGAATTGCGAAAATCGTAAGGCTGATTACAAAGAGTTTGTTATGCAGTTATTCAGGAAGACAAAGGTGGGAAAAAATGAAAAAGAGTAAATAGTAATAAGGCTATGATAGTAAAAGAGTTTCGGTGAAACCTTCAGGCTGCTCCTTAAGGATTACTAAGGCTTCAGCTTAATGGAGGAGATGTGGGCTAAATCCTTTGAAACTGCCTGATAGCACTTTACATATGATTCGCAAAGAAATCTGTGTTGATGCTGCATGTCAAGAAGTAATAATGTGTTCGATAAACTCACGTAGGCAGCATACTTTTTCCTTCAAGGATAGATTAGTGAATGTGCAAAATACGTCCAGAGAGACCATTGTTAACCCAGATATATTCACTTCACATGATCGACAAATTCAAACATATCCTTCTAGAAGTGCCTTAACATTAACTTTCCTAGCGGTCCCAAGGTTACCATTAACCATCGTGCTACGGGATGGTAAGTCGATCTGGCCAAATTTGAGACAGAACTCAGGGGCAACCCACTTTGTGAATTTTTGGTAAACACCGTAAATAACTGTAGAGCTTTTGAGTGAAGTTACGAAAAGACAGCTCTTCTGTGACTCATGTGTTGTTTCTTTATCTATTTTTATATATTATCTTTTCATATGATTAAATGATGAGTGCCCTTCCGTTCGTTTGACAAAGTATTCTCGCTTCACTAGTCCTCAGCAGTGGTTCCATGAACGAAAGTTCATAAATACCATCAGTCTTCTACTATATTACTAGTCGTCGGTAATTTGAATAATTACTCTAATAGTAAAGCCGGTTTCTGAAAATTCATCATGAGTTGGAAGACTGTTCGAAAAATGAATGTGAAAACAGAGCTTCTGTGGACTTAACGACTTGTCAATTGGAGGCAGCGTGAGAAATCACAAGGACATAAACGAAGCAACATGGACACACCGGAATTCACATAAACTTAGTCTCACTCTCAGGAAACTGAGGACGCGGCCTATTGTGCACAATTCAACAAAGTAGCAGATGTAGTCTTAGACCTTTATCTAGCCCAAGAGTCCTTCACTGTCAACTCGAAAGTTTCCAGTGATGACGGTTATAGACCAAAATCCACTATTAATTGTCGGAAGATGAAGAACGGAGACGCAACAGGCGAATTCACCACAGCCATCATGGGAAGGCTAGGAGTACCAAACAATATCATTGTGGAAAACTTCGTGAGGCAACACTGGAATTCTCTCTGAATGTGATATTGTAGAGAATCTTTTAAGTTATCTTTAGAAGGGAGAAGATACCTGTAAGCTAATTCCTGAATAAACAGGAATAAATATGTATCATTGTGATTGGTGATCCATGTCATTGCTACACCATCTGTTTGTCTTCAAATTTAAAGATAGCAGATGTGAAGCATAACTAAATTCCTAAAATAATTTCCTCAATAGGCAGCTTCGTCCTATGAGTGAGTTCAGGATCTGCAATTAGTTCTTATTTAACTGCCTTTTAAGGCCATATTGATTGGTATATTAGTATAAAGACTAGTTATATCAAAACTAACCATTGTTTCATCATTCTATAATTGAATGTCATTTAGTTTCTTTTTCATTTCATGTGAATTAGTTAGCCGAGGGTTTGGACGATTTCTAACGGGACATTTTATTGGAGCTAAGTGATTTGATAATTCATAAGGAGGGGTATTTCTGAAATCTATTATTGGTCGTATGGGGTAACCTGGCTTATGTATTCCTATATTACCATATTCTCTACTAGCATTATTAGTTTTAGATATTAAATTAAACCATTTAGACTCCCCCAGTGACGGCTTCATTCTACGTGTTGATTCTAACCTTATTCATTGTTGTATCCACAGGCTTCTTAATTTTTTCATATGGACCCATCTCAATATGTCCAGTGACTTTTTTTGATATAGTCGGATTTCTCCAAAAGCACCTTTGAGTTTCTCTGATAGGTATCTACGGTGAAAATGTCTCGGATGAATTTATGCGCAGTGCCATTTAAGTTGTTTTGGTGGTTGACGGTATCGACGTTCGCGAGTTGTACGGATTATACTAACGCAAGATCTTATACCAACAACCACTATAGTGTTCGTTCTTCGAGTACCAAATGGTAAAGCAAAAGACCAGATTTTGTCGTCCAAAGTACGTATTATATTTCGGGACAAAATCGCGGGTAGAGGTGAATGCTTAGCTAACTAGTAATCGTGCACGCACGTGACACGACGGAGTACCAAATGGCGGGGATGCTTGACCAGAAGCCTTCAGCTAAACAAGTCGACTTAAACAGTGATGGTCAGCATCCAATGTTGAGTGATGATTGCTATGGTTAATAATTTTGGGGAATTATTTACCGCTACATTGTTGACAGGTGGCCTCGTATTAGCCTTACATTCCATATTCAATGATTCTAGCATCGACTCATCTTGCTGATACCTTATGTCTAGAATCAATAACATGTTAGGACATTTCATTGAAGCTAAAATACTAGTTCGAGTAGTCAGCTTGAGAAAGTCCGTATTATTGATATTCTCTATTGTTGTACGTATTTCCAGAAACTTTTGTCGATTGGTTCAAAGCATGATTGAACCTCAATTGTAAATTAAATTGAAAGTATTGAAATACGTACAAGGGCGAATGCTGAACTTTTAGCCCGGATTAATTAAATTTAGTGGCATATTTGCACGCTTTCAGTTTATTGGTAGGTACGTTTTTGCTTTCATGTTAACATTTTAAGAGGAATTGTGTTTGTGCAGTACAATTAATATCTGCGAAAAATTACAGCCTAAGAGTGCTTCTTATATTGATATTAGTTAACAACTGCGCCGTAGGACGAATTATCATCCTTTATTTCATAACTCCTCATTGTTGCTTACGTGCCGTTATACTTAAATTGGAATAAGCAGTAATTATTCAGAGAAAAGCTTTCATTCAGTCGCTTAAAGAATACCGGACAACCGTTAGCAGTTCGGACGAAGCCAAAATCATTAGATTTAGTCAAGATAGCAGGCTATTGCATTGTCTAAACACTAAGAAAACTATTTCGGAGGTGTATGTAGTCCGTTAACTGTTGGCTCATTTTATTCCTTCCCCTTAACTTGCTGTGTTTTATGAAGTGCCTAGTTTCGTCGATCAGAGGTAACTGAAAAACAGCTCTCTCAATAAGCCAAACGGTAAATAAACGATTAGATACAGAGTCATCTATTATTATTATTATTGTTCCCTTGGGTTCCTAGTGGAACATAGGGCTTCAACTGCACGCCTCCACTTGTTTCTGTCTTGTGCTGTACTTGAGTCATCTATTAGTATAGCTTAACTCGTACTACGGCACTATCGTATTGTTTCCTCTTCTAGAATCAGTATCTAGCGTGTGCAGTCAACATAATATCGAAAATTGTTCATTTCCACTTAATAAAATTTATGATTGCTATTCTAACCAATCAACTGTTGAATAGTTAATTTTGAATGATGCGGCTTCACCCGCTGCTATCTTGTTTTGGCATTATGGCTTTGTGTTTAGTTATCTTAACAAGTTTGAAGAAGGTTATTCGTATTCTCTAGTAGTACGCACCGTTTATTTGATAAGCTAAAATCCTTCACCTTCGAAGTGAAATTACTCCCATAATATTCTATACTGCTTTGAAATACCAAGTTGTTAGTTTGCTGTACGCATGAGCATTTCTCATTCTGCTCCTTTATGTTCTCCCTGGTTCAAAGTAACTCGTTTAAAAAACTATAGATGCAGAATGTGTAGTTAGTGGCAAGTGTAGATAGTTTGTTGATCCTAAAATATAAAAAATATTATTCTTCACACCTACAGTTATTTTACGTACAACATTATTTCAAATAAAGAAATAATATATATTCTGCTAGGTTGTTGCTAAATATCGCTTTCCTTGAACTTCAGTCCTCAGTCTTCTAACAAATATGTTCACCGTGAAGCCTCGCAAGATTCATTTGTAACAAGTAAACGATTAAAAACATCAGAAGTATACCTTTGAATGTTTAACTGATGTTTATGACTACTTTCTTCGTCAGCATATTTATATTTTTACTCTACAGAAATGGTTATTGCCATTTCAAACTAAGTGTAATTGTTCAAAAAAATTAAGCGACAATTGCATTCTGATAATGTAAGATTCTACATCATACCGAATCACGTGTTAACTCCTCCTTATATGGTTTATTTGTAAATGTATCACCAATCGTGTGACAACAGACTTAATTAGATCAGAGTGCAAATTACGTAGTTACTGACTTAATTAATGCGCACGCGTCCTTGAGAACTTATGTAAGTTTTCCGTCGTTGTTGTAATGACATCATTTACGTTAAAATTAAAATGAATAATTCCAACTTTTCGTTCGTTAAACAGGTCTGAACTTCAGAAAAATAAATTTAAAATACCAAAGGTACATATTAAAGGGCACCCCTTGTTTTCAAAATTCTTATCTATTCATGTCTGAGTCATAAATTGTCTTCAAAAAAACAAATGGAAACAGAACTGTATGAACCGTGACCAAGATTTGACCTGATTGTTTCACGAACTTATTATTCCTCCTGTATACGTGCAAGCCGTAGTCTATTTTTTCAGTTGACATCCAATGTCTGTGCAACTACTCGGTAATATTCTTCGTCAGAGATCGTAGAAACAGTGTTGATTGGTTAGGATATAATCAATAAATATGATGTATGAATTCTTAGGGCATTTGACTGCATTCTCGCAGTGTGTGACTATAGTGCTAATTATTCATTCCGACCGGAGTTATTTTTTTAATTCTAAAATCTAAGCCATTAAAACTGATTGAGTTTTAAGCCCGGACAATGAATTCAAAGAACGGGGCTCCATGAACCCCCTCTTAGTATCTGCTGTAAACCTAGCCCTGACACGTGCAATATATATATTGCTTATAAACAATAATTGTTTTATCTAGTCATGTGAGTAAAAATATTTCCTCTAGATAGAAAAAAAGTTACGCGTGACTGTCGATAAACAAAAGTGTTCTGCGAAAGAGACTGTTCTAATCAGTTGTTTTTTTTCGGGGTCAGTTTCCATTTCTCAGTGATTCACACGTCAGTTCTAGTTTTCCTAAACGTCCCACTTTCTCACATATCCAACCACAATGTCATGTTAAACACCAACCGACTCACCTCTTTGTAACTTGATGACGTTCTGTGCGTATTGTTGTTTTCATTTTCTGAAGTTCCACAGGATTTTCTTGAGTTTCAATATAAGGTTGGTACAATACCATACAACCCTACTGGCGTACATCACAGGCTGTTTCGATTCACTAGTTCAGGAATTCGTAACTTGTATGTTTTACATTTACTGAGCTACTTTTCTTTCAATTGGAGTCAATTCACTTTCATTTTAGATATTTGTGCCCTTGTCAACAATTTTCATAGGTATTCATGTACTATCAAAATTGTCATGCCATTTGGTAGGATCCATGAGTTCCATAACCAATCTACTGAAGCAGAAAGCTTTCCTTAAGGTTCCCAAATTCAGTCTAAAAACAAAACTCCGTAAGTCAGTATTCTGTTCAATATATATTTCCTCATTAAATGTTACCAAAATCCCTCTGTTCAAAAATTTCTTTTCGCGACACAGTCACACAGCATCTATCGCTTCAATGAAAAAACTAAATGTGTCTGATACTGAACATACCGGCTTCCCAGTGATATATCTAGTATAAGTAGAATTGGGTTGACCATTTTTATCAAGTTGCCTCTAATTTACGAGATTCGTAGTCACTATTCACTTTAAAATCATGTTCATCTCCTAAAGACAATCATAAACCTAGACGTTTGGCCTTTCTCTACCCTTCACCAAACGTATTCATTCAAGGATGTATACGTCAGTTATAAAGTCTCTCAATGTAGTGGCAGATGACATATGCTACAATGTATCTATTAGTGCAGACAAGTGATCCCAACCACACTGCACACACACGTTGACAGCTGCCAACAAGCAGGAAATGTAAACTGAAGGCTCCCTCTCCATTACCTCCAACATGAAGTCTGTATCTCGGTTTAACAACGTAGTTGTGAACCTGGTATCGAGCACAAGTTTCGTATTGTAGCAACATTCGTAAAGATAATTGATAACATGCAACCAAATGTTGGCAAAGTGGTAGAAGTTTCCGTGGTTTACTTCGAACTGATCCTATCGGTCTCCCGAAAAAAATGAAAATTATCTGAGAGTACGTTGACTAGAAGTCTTCGTAACAACGGGGAAACAGTTGGATGATGAAAAGCTAAAAAAGAGTGATAAGGGCACAGGTAGTCTGCAATACTCGCTATCCACATAGTGTAACTCAAAGAGTGTTTACTGTACAGCTTTCTCTTCAACAGCTGTGAGATCTAGTTGCTATCAACAAATGATATAGTAAGTTGGCTGGCTTCTTCATTCGACTGCTCTCATGTGGTGGAATCATTTAACAATAATATTAAAGTTAGACATGGAATATCATGCTAGCCAGGTGATGATAAGGTTGTTAATCATCACTAACTGAAATGAGTGAAATAATTGCTTAGATTAATCATATTGCTGGGAAATATACGCAAAAATGGTCCCATCAGCCTTATCACCGGTGTTTATCACCCAGATTTCAACAAAAGATAAACTAATCCTATTTTTCACATACGGAATCGAGAAAAACCTAATATCCTTGGTTATACGAAGCCTAGATAGTTGTTGAGAAGAACCAGGCTGTTGGAATACAGGGAACAAATATATGTATATCAGTTATTATTTCTGTCAATAGGTCTTGTGTTATTTTCTGGCTGTAGTTACTGTTAGTTTCTATCAATTAGTAGTTACGACTGAGCGTCGGGGGGTTATAGTATTCTCCTCGAAACGACCTAAGCCTATTCTACAAAGACGTTCTTACATAAGTAAATGATCCAAAGGAAATATAACATTCTTATCAATGACAGATGGTGTTGTATCTGGACTGGTTGGGAAACCGCATCTTATAAACTGTGGGGCACATGTGCTCCGGAATCTGCAAAGAATAAGTGGTATATGATTTAATCGTATTGCCTTATAAACTAAACTTTTAACTAGTGACTCAAGGAATCGTGTCTGATTGTGTCTTTATGTCAGTAAAGTATATCAGCCCTTGCGCGAATGTAGAGGTATAGCTCAGTAGTAAACTCAACTCAGTTTATCCCACCTGATGCTTTATGAACTAAATGTTCAATCCTTTGATAGATCATTATCAATATGATGTTATTCTTACATGTGAAATGTTTTGTTTTATTTTTATCCTCCTTATTTTTGTAAACTACTCAGTATTATCTGGAATCTAAGTTCATCTGTTCTGTTGTGTTGCTAATTAATTGCCTTCAGGAAGCCGCTCTCTGAGGCAGTATGTGACACGGCTTTTCAGGACCTATGTCACGTTCATCTTTGCCATTTACATGCCATCAGCTGAGATCATTCCGAAAACCCCATATTTTACTAAGTTTAAGTTTGAAATAAGTTAATAAAGAGCTATTGTGAAATAAGTTTACAACGTTAGATACGTTTATCTGATGTGGCATCAAAAACAGTATCACTCTATATGTTATCTTAAAATAAAGTTTTCTGACATGGAATTGTATTCTACCACAGTGCGCAAATTGTACAGTTGCAATAAGTTTACGGTGCTTACTAACCCAAATGCAGATAGTCGTGAGTTCTGTTGGTGTTGGTTTCTGTTTCTACATTTTTAGATTTCACCCAATTAATATTGACTGTTCGGTAGAGTTGGTATTATTTCTGGCTTACATAGTTAATTAACACCAGATGTTACTGTGGTTTCTTTTATTTATTCTTCCTGATTATTAACAGGTACTTATTTTAAACAGCTTGCTGAGGATTATCTCTCATCTGGTCGCGATACTTTACAACTTATACGCAAGAACCCTATACGTTCCTTTCTCTGGAGTTCTTCAATTTTAAGTATATCATATATTGTACACACTCGTCCAGATAAGAAAGATTATTATGCGTCACTTATCGAATCTGCGATTGACCTGTGGGAAGTCCCAGACTTTATACGCAACTCCAAAAGTACGTACTATGTTCACAGATGCCTTCAGTTGTATTTCAAAGAACAGCTTAGATATAGTAACTTTGGTTTATTCACTGTTATCTGGCGTGACGATCGCTGTCAGTCATGTTGTCAGTACGCAGAGGTATGCAAGTACACATATCCTGCTAACGGAGGTGGAAATTTTACGGGCCTTATTCGTTTACTCTTATTTGATCGACCTCAAGAGAGGGGTTGGCTACGCATCCGAAATATTGTCAATGATCGTATATTGGATTTCGGTTTCATGGGGAAATGGTGGCTTATGTCACACTATATGGAAGACTATGATGTTAATCCTGATGAATGGGAGAATGTCACCCAATTTACATGAAAGAAAATCACCCCGTAGTTCTCCTAAAAAGAATGTGAAAACAAGCCAGACTTCGCGTTCAGACGTTCAAAAATCGTCCACCGAAACTGAAATTAACAATGACCAAAATAGTGATGCTCTGTGTTTAGACAGTTCTACAAGTAACACAGATGAAGACTGGGAAGTATTAAATGAAGAGAATTTGTATGTTGACTGCCAGGGCTTGCTCGAAGATGATATCTTAACGCCAAACAGTGTTATCCATCTTGTTGATCTAGAATCAGAGAAACCTCTTATGCAGGTAGGTTAAGTGTCGGTCTTACATTTCATTGTGTTAATGAGCAGTGTACATTTCCCTACTTTTGTACTGCTGTTTAGTAAGAATTACTATTCATCATCGACAACCTATTTTTAACTTTCCCAGCATAGCGTAAATGTTGAGAACGCTTTTTTAAACACTTAAACATATCACGAGACATTTCCCCAACACTTTATTTCGATGAAGTCTCACAGTGTTATACAGTTGTACTTACTGTTGACCACGTTTTGAGCACAGTTTACCACTGCTCATAATCATATCAAATTACATAACTTTCTAACTTTGTTTAAATGATCCCACTGTTTCTCGCCTCTTGATTTGATTGGTAATAATATTTTCCATACTTGTGCCATTAGTGATGAGTCATTCCTATTGCATGTGTTGTGTTGGGTGTAGATTATTCGATGAACAAATATTCAGTCAGTGATCAACCCCTCTCTTCATCTATCTATATGACATTTTGGAATTTCAACTCTGTCCCATTGTATTTTGTGGTCAATTGTGTGTTAATGCATGCAGTGCAATTGCTGGGTTTTCTTCTTTCTGAATTACTGATCTTCATTGAATCAATCATTATGCACTTAGCTAAATCCTAATATCCTGACAATCTGACTACCCCCGATCAACTGGTTTGCCGTAAATAGAGTTGACTTAACTCGCAGTCATTGCGAGGTATTTTCTAAATTGTACTATTTTGTCGAATCGGGTCAACCTGCAGGGTCCTTTAACCTACCTACAGAGATTGTCCTACCTGATTAAGTTTTTTGTAGGTTTCAATGTCACCACCCTAATTCCTGCTTTATTACGAATCCTACACAAAGTTTCAGATGTCCCCTCTTTATATGGCATAACTGTAGATTTTTTCAGTAATTTAATAATTCCCATTGGAGCATTAAGAACACAATATTCAGCGAAGAGACTCTTTTCAACGAATTTATTATCAAGCTGTACAATCGTATATATATGGTTTTTAAGAAATTATATCCGGTGAGGGAATTAGGTCAAAGGTGTGAATACATGAAATAATAATAGTATGAAATGCAATTAAAATATTTGTGATTATAATCATAGTCTAATGTCAAGTGGCAAAATAATTAATGTCGTTTATAGAATAATACATAAGGTGTATAGATTTTGGAGAAGAGTACATAATTATAAGATTAGTAGACGAATATAAAAAGTTACATAACATGGTATGAAATTTGATAAGACAGAATTCAATATTGTAAAAATTAAAAAAAAAGTATAAAAATTAATAATTTTAGGTTTAAAATGTCAAGTGGGTCAAGTGAAAAAGATTCAGAGTGAGAATAGTAATAATTATAATGATAATAATATTAATAATAATAATAGTAATAAGGGAAGAGTACATAGAATAACTAAATAAACAAAATAAATAAATGTCTATCCCTCTACGGCCAAGGCAGAAGTAGGGATTGCACATACTTCTTTTGTACACAAAGGTCTGGCTTAAAGTCATGAATTGCCAAGGCCTCAGCTGTCTTTAGAAGTCTGTAACGAATAGAACGCAGGAAGTTAACATGGATTCTATATATGACCTTAGAATCATGGTCAGGGTTAACTTGACATTAAACTATGATTATAATCACAAATATTTTAATTGCATTTCATACTATTATTATTTCATGTATTCACACCTTTGACCTAATTCCCTCACCGGATATAATTTCTTAAAAACCATATATATACGATTGTACAGCTTGATAATAAATTCGTTGAAAAGAGTCTCTTCGCTGAATATTGTGTTCTTAATAACTGTAGATGCCTTATATTCTTCCTTATTCATGTTATCATTATGTCTGTCTGTTTTCGACATAGAACTTTGCACATATGTGCGGCAGTTCAAGTCGCCACACTCCCTCTATGTAGCACACAAAGCAAGAGAAGAAAGTAGGAGAAATGTATCATATAGACAGTAAACAGAGGTGTGAGACAAAGGAATAGTAATAATGGAGAACAAAACGGTTTCATTGGAAATCATAAGTCACAAGGAGTGGATGCAACTGCGCCATTGAGAACGATTTTGAGCCATGTCACCAATCGTTTCCAACCATTGGTTTTTACCGTCCTGAGGACCTCAACCAGGAAGTCTACACTTTCCTACGTGGCCTAGACTAACTGTTGTAGATTTCATTGACTGGTGCGATGTTTTGGTTTGACCGCCGCTAGCTCTTTTCCAGCCTGACCCTATATCAGCTGACATTGCCCGTCGAGGGAGACGATGGCTGGGCATACGTAACACATGTCCCAACCATCTCAGTCGATGTAATTTCACAGTCTCGTCTATTGATTTCCCCTCCCACCAACCTGGAACTCGACCGATGCCTAACCAGCTCAATATTGCTCACCTTATTATACCACTTCACGCGGGAGATAGAACGCAGACACCAATGATCAAAGACAGCTAATCTTTTCACGTCTTCTGCTCTCAATGGCCATGTCTCACAGCCATAAAGGAGGACGGAGCGGACTGTTGAGCAGTACACACGCTCTTTGATCGATAGTCGGATGTCACGTCTACGCCAGAGACGGCGTAAACTGGCATATGCGAACCTAGCCCTCTGTATTCGTGCTGAGATTTCGTCGGAGGTCAAGCCGTTGGCACTGGCTGATGGTACTTCCCAAGTAAGTGAAGCGGTCAACGTGCTCTACCACTTCACTTCCTATTTCTAATCTAGGGGTCGGTGGAGTCCAATCCTGCAGCATCATCTTACATTTTACAGGGGTGAATCGCATGCCAAACATACGAAGATTGTTGCTCAAGGTGTTCAGAAGACTCTGCATTTTGTCAGCGTCCTCGCATAGAAGGACAATATCGTCTGCATATTCTAAGACAACGAAATTATTCATTATCCATATAAGTTTCGCTACTACTTTTCTTTTTCTTTTGAATACTTCTTATCTTCCTAATGAATTTTATGGAGTAGTTATTTGACACCAATGCTTCCTCCTTGTTCATTTAATCTACACCCAACAAAACACATAGAATGGGAGGTATGGAAAATGCTACTAACCAATGAAAACAAGAAATGTAAAATAATGGAATTATAGAAATGAAGTTAGAAAGTTGTGTGAGTAACTCGAAGTGATTATGAGCAATAAGAGACTTCATCAAAATAAATTTTATCCACAATGGAAATATACTTTACCGCACAGTGCCCAAGTTCTATTCTAATATCAATTTCTCCAATACCTTTCTGGATAACACTTCATATGGGTTTTGTATTAAGTTCAGTGAACTTCACATCTAAGAAAGAACTTTCATGTGAACATGCATCATTTTTTTCACATACCAGTTGTGGCATTGTGATATCCAACAGCAGAGTATATGTCACAAATATCCGTTACCAGCATTTTCCACAACTTCATCCAGTTTACCAACATATCAATAATTGGTTATAGTTATTTTGACTAAACAGGTGAAAATTAGTAAGTTTTGGATGGAGTTACGTAATACAAAAACGGTCAAGAAAATTGGGTGTCAATGAAACTAGTGTAGTAACAAAGGTGATGAGTTGTCACAATCAGTTGTTAAGATGGAGTTACGTAATAATGTGAATAGTTTGATGATTGAGTTGTACTCAGGATACACATAGGAGCAAAGCAGAGAATACGAAATTACGTAAGAGTTCTAAGTGAATACAAGAATTATAAGCAATTAAAGAATCTGGCAAACAAACAAAATTAAGTCATCAAAAAACCAACAAAGTTGTTTCCATGATAACAGAAGTGGTTGAGTGACTCTCTTTTGTATGCACAGCTCCAGTTTTTCTATGTGAATGGCCAGAGCTTCAGCAATACAAAGAAGACGAAACTGCATTGCTTTTAGTAGGTTATTGTTGACTCTGTAGATTACTTTGAAGCAGGAGGCGTTTGTTGAGATGGAATGATCAGTGTTAACCAGGTATTCAGTTATCGCACTCTTTATAGCACCACCATTGCCTTTGTAACTACACTAGTTTCATTAACACCCAATTTTCTTGACCATTTTTGTATTACGTAACTTTACTTAGAACTTACTAATGTTTACCTGTTTAGTTAAAATAACCACAAGCAATTGTATTTTTGTTTGAGAAACTTAATGTACACATGCATATAGAATAACTCATATATATCAATATCTGAATTATCGAATAATTTGGCTGAAATCTGCATTACACATGTCATAGTTTGATGTCCATAATAGTAGTTTATTATAAAAGTATCACCAAAATATATATGAACCAGTAAAAGCACTGGATATCTGAAGGGGATTTTTTTCTTACCTGATTGCACTCTGAAACATGATAAACTATTACTTACTATTTTATTGCTTTACGTTCCTAGTGGAACATATGGCTTTAAAGTTTTGGTAGCAGTGGTGTTTATTTTCACGGGGTGGGATCACTAGCCTCAAGCCCAACCTCCACCCCTTACCCGCCCAACTTTCGTCTTGGTGAGGTTTGGGAGCGCGCTGGCTGGAGACCGAACCCCGGACTACGCGAGGCGTGGTCGACAACTGTCCTACGGTTGAACCGTCGACGCACATAATACAAAGTTTATAAAGTGCCTACAATCTTTCTGTAATCACAAGCAACTGAAGTTATTTTCGTGGATGGTGACTGACTAGCAGTGGAAATCCCGGATATACATTTCACCCTATTTGAGACTTGTTTACTGTCAATGTACCTGAATTCTCCGTCATGTGATGGTAGTGTTTCTACTGAACTTCGAACACTGCATCCACCATTTCAAACACCAAGGTGTTGTTCTCTGCTACACCACTTGAGCCATATAAAACCAAGGAGTACTGGACAGCTGTTTTTTTCTCCCAGTGCTTGGGACTTTCCACCTGTACTCATCCACAGGGGCTCAAGTCCAGGACCTTTCAGGTAAAATGCAAGCTTTTATGCTATTCAGTCACTGTGACTAGAATTGTGAATATATATTTAGCTTTCGTGTTGTATGGCTCGATAGATATGGCTTCCATTTCATTGAAATGGAATAATCATGAGCTACTCACTGGACAAAAGTTGAAGGGAATACTATTGATAGACATATTGTTCATATGCACTAAAATATTTCTCAGAGAACGACTAATATATGGTCCAGTCGTTTAGACGGCAAACCTTCAAATACCTTTTACATTCGAATCACCGTCACTTTTCAGTGCTGAGATTCAACAAATCTGATAGTGAAGGAGGAGCTTACGGAGGTCATTCTTATATTGTTTTTTTTTTTAATATAAAATTATTCATTGATATAAGAATAAAACTTGTGCACTGTGGTAGAGTGTAATTCCATTATGGGTAAATTTTTGTTTTGATAAAGTCTCACAGTTTTATACAGTGTTATAATCATATCAAGGATTATGATTATGAGCAATAAATTGTGCTCGAAACTTCATCAGTAAACATTACTGTATAACACTGTGGTAAATGTAGTTTGGTAACATGAATTGTTGCACTTCTCTTCAAAGACTTATACTGAAACTTGGTCAATTACACAGCATAACTGAGATGTTTTATAAGCAATTATTATTGTCTGGAAGTATTCAGCTTTAAATGTAGTTGTATTGCACTTTCGTCTGGAACTTATCTGCTACAATTTTTCTCTACTGTTGAAACTTCCTTGTCTCAATATTAGTGTACATTGTTTGAGATTGTTAAGAAAAAGTGTAGACTAAGGAAGATGATTCATAAGACGCAGATGGTGTGGCGTGTGTTACTGACAAAACTCATCAGTAGTAATATAAAGAGACGTTCATCAGCACAAAAATATCAAATAGCAGAGAGAGAGAGAGAAAGATTTGACGTCAAAGAGAGCAAATGAACCAGTGCTGCAGCGAAACATGCGACATACGAAAGGAGGACAAAAAAACAACAGAATACAGAGGAAATAGCGCACAGCATGGAAGATCTTTGCAAATGACGACGACTTTCATATAAGGTTCACATAATTTCCTTGTATGAAAATATTCATTCAGTTACCAAGTCTCTTGTGTCCTTCCGTTACAGGGGTACACAAACACTGGGGTTGACAGCCTTTTGTAATTTATGGAAAATTACCTACTAGAATTTATACTCGTACCTATTACCTTACATTTCCGAATTTAACTTTCTTGATTTAATTCCTGGCAGCAGCACACTGATGATCATACACGATTTTGAAGGAATCAAAATATCCAGATACGTCAGGTTCTTGTAGTTTCCCTATTCTCTTTATATATGTAGGTGATTTAATAGTGAGCTCGGTAACGGAACAAATATTAGAATAAAAATCCAAGTTAATGAAATGATAGTGTAAAATAGTATATTATAAAAAATACAGTTAACGCATTATATAAATTAGTGGTTACTTGGTGATACAGTTAAAGTCCGCTACTCCCAGTTATCGATGTAATCCACAGAAGTGTTCGCTGCCGGAGTCGTGTCTACTAGTAGAAGCTGTGCAGCGGTTGTAGAATAGTCTTCAGATGAGAGGTTCCTGCAAAATTCAAAGGATACAACACGGTTAGTAGTAAAGCAAGTAGACAGTATGAACCAGTGAGAAGACGAAGCATTGAACAGCACGCTGTATTTTAGCTTGTACACCGAAGTTATGTATATTTTGCAATGAATCGTTTTAAACTAAAGTTATGTACAATGTTTCCATTTGTAACACCTAACAAAATACTGTACAGTCATATTGTTCCAGACTCCATATACATATTAGTTTAGTTTTATTCCTTTACGTACCTAATGGAATATGGGGCTTCATGCTACTGCTTTGAAGTTTCGGTAGGAGTGGTGTTTATTTTTACGGAGTGAGGTTGCTAGCCTGACGTCCCTCTTCACCAGCCTTATTACCGGCTTGACGAGGTTTAGCGAGGAGTGCGTCGGCCGGTGATCGAATCCCGAACCACATGCATGACTAGCGAGCATTCTACCGCCGTACCACCGATGCACCTCTTTATATACATATATATATATATATATATATATGTAATTATCTTACATCATTTTCCTTTTATATTGTGTTGTATTTATTTCTATAGGTTGGACCAGCAGTTTTCGAAGGACATTATGAAGATGTCGTTGGCACATATTTGTTGTTTGAGAATTGTAAATCTCCACTGGACAGTACTCTGTTCACAGAAAGCGGGACAGCTACATTTTCTAGTCGAAAAGTAAATGAACAAACACAAAATACAGCAAACTATGTTACTAAATGTTCAAAGTCACTTTTATTTCAACGTATTTTTCTCAAGACGAAAGCTGAATAACACTAGCAACTTTACTTAGTATTTCTAGTACCAATTTTAACTCCTGATTCTGTCTCCGTTTATGAATACCTATATTTGTGTAATATTAATATATACGTTCACTGATAACTTCTCTTATTTCACTGAAATGACGACTGACAGTTTAAATTAATGGATTGTGTTTAGTATATATATGCGAAAGGTCTCACAAAAGAGAGAAAAAGTGAATTATAACGACAATTTATTCCCAAAGTTGTTTCGCATTATTCCTAATCTGAAATCGACGAAGTGGTAGCAACCAATAGCGCAGCTTGAGCATGCAAAAATGCTGCATTTCCGTAGTGTCTTCAATACTTATTTACTTTGATTATTTCTGAACAATGTGGGCAATTTATATAGCGATGACAATGAATTGGTTTTTGATACTAAGAACAACACAGAAGCCAACAGAATATCAGTCAGTTATGGAACAAGACTCTTAGTTTCTCCATTTCTACTTAATTTCATTGTACATGTACTGTCGGATGTGAACGTGGCTGACTCAAATGTATTAGAAATTGATTTTTGTTACAAGGGAACAGTCTTGTCGATCTGAAATAGGAAGATGATATATAGTCCCTCTTGGTGTAGATGATGACGAACAGCTTGACATTTGATTCGCCCCTGACACTGCATGACTAGTCTCCACTGACTCCTATTCAGTGCTCAACACTTCCTATTCTTTCAAGAATAGGAAGTGTTGAGCACTGAATTTTTTTAGGAAGTTGATTCAGCCCTGATCTCGGTAGCAATGTAAAAGGTTCATTTGTTAACATGGCACTTGTGTGACCTCGAGCCATCTGTCAAAGGATGTCGGGTGGTAGATAATTCCCCAAAATTATTAGCCTACAGCATTCATCACTCACCATTGGATGCTAACCTTCACTATTTAAGTCGACTTGTTTACCTAAAGGCTAGCGGTAAAATGTCCACACTATCTGGCACGCCGTTGTGTTATATCCATTCGTTTGTGCACGATATCCAGCTAGTCAAGCGATCATCCTCGCACTAAGATTTTGAACCCAAAATATACTTCGTAATTCGGACGATCAATTTGGTGTTTTGATTTGCCTCTGGTCTACGCAGAACAAATACTACAGGAGTCGTGAGTATAAGAAACTGCGTTAGTATCCATCATACTTTCTGTAGACGTCAACACGCCCTCAGCCTCTAAATATGTGTACTTTCCAGTCCTTATTTATGACTGTAAGGCTTGAATGTTGAAAGTGGGAAAAATGGAGAAGCTAATTGTATGTGACTTAAGTTGTTTGCGTTTAATTTCTTGTGTTAGGTCGTATCATATAGTTACTGACAATGATGCAAGGCATAAAGCGTTGAGTGAGAAGAAAAACTCAGTGAACATCCATTGAGATACTGAATCGTCTCCTATTTCGAAGATCAATGTTAGATGGTATAGGATAAGGTTGGAAAACAGTTTTCATTTTTCAATGAGATGCTCACTGGCGACTGGCCCTATTCAGGTAGGCAGTTACCTGGGTTTCTAGTGGGAAGTCGTGGCCAGTAGGGTGCAGCAGTTCGGGTGTGAGGTCAGATACTCGCCGAAGACATTGGCTAGCGGTTGCGCTATATCATGAATTGGCAGAAGTTAGAATTCATGGGCCATTGGATCGGGTCCCAGTGGCTTAATGGTCTACGAGCTCGCCTTGTAACCAGAAGGTCCTGGGTTCGAACCCCGTTTGGTGCGTACTGATGAAGAGTCCCAAAATAGAACGAAACAGGTTTTCCAATGGTTCTCTAACCAATGTCAGCTCATGATGAAATCCTGTAACCAATCAACCAAATCCCTTCAAACCAATACTTGGAATGTAGAAAAGTTGGAGTTGCCATATTTGTTTCAGAGATGAGCTCAGTATACTCAGATTCACTTATGTGAGAGAAAAAACGGTCAGGCTTACGTGTTGTACTTGAAATACTCTTCTCCTGAGTACACTTGCTTTCTTCTATCGGATGTATTAAACCAGTTTCAGAAGAACTTGGACCAAAATGTTTTCACTTGTGCTTGCTCATTGTGAACATGTAGGTGGAGCCGAATGTTCATAAGCTGCTAGATAATGTGCACCTTCAACCTTTATTCCTGAAATTTGTGGAAATTCACCGGAATTTCTGAGGTAAGAAATAACTACTTCGTTTGGTTCTTTGCTAAGGTATTGTATGAAATTCGCCATCTCAATAGAATAAACACATCTTTCAATAACATAAGAATACTCCGTTTATGTCAAGTATTCTGTTTTGCTTACTAATTTACACTTGGATAGCTCTTTTCTGATAAGGAAATAGCTTAAACGAACAGTAGTGGAAAAACAGAATGAAAACAAGTGTTTATTCAAAAGATCTTTTGTTAGTCCCTACCACGCAACCACTACGAAAGTCTTTCAAAATACCATTAACGGCAAAATTAGAGGAAAACGGTAAAACTGAGTCACCCTGTCTAACCCTAGTGATGATTAAGAATTGTGGTGGCGATAGGCAGTTTGGTGATTTGGCTCTATTTGAGATAGTCTGTATACGTTTTTTTCAGAATGATCACAAGTGATGGCATATAAATGGAAAGGCTGGATGTGGCACGCGGCACCTGAAGAGTCCTGTTATATACTGTGCCACAGAGCGGCTTTCAAAAGGCCATCAGTTAGCAACACAGTATAAATGGACTAAGATCCCATCAGATTCAAAATAATAACGAACACCGTAAAAAATTACAATATTTACAAACACAAAGATGATAAAAACCAAACCAAATAATTTAACCGTAAGAATCACATTGATAATGATCTATCAAAGGACTGAACATGTAGTTCAGGTGTGATAAATTGCGAGAGCACAGAGTTGAGTTTACTACATCCTTGAATGAATACGCTCTGTGAAGGGTACGGAAAGGTCAAACGTCTAGGATCATGATTGTCTTCAGGAAATGAACATGATCTTCGAGTGAATAGTGACGACGAATCCCGTGATTTAGTGGCCACTTGATAAAATTGGTCAACTGAATTCCATCAGTACTAGATATATCACTGAGAAGATCGTATGCGCGTGATTATCTGATTGTCTCGTGGCCAATTACGCCCCGATCTGACTGTTTCAGACCGAAAAGCTTTCTGTCGGACATCAGTCAGTGGTTTAAGCTGATCGGTCTTACGTCAAGTCGATCCAAATGTCGGCTAGTTAACTTCACCTTCAGGCATAAACGTGATCTTCGCACACGAACTTGTTCGCTCACATGATGCTTGTAACATAGAGGGCACTGAAACATAAACAAAGTCAAGCATGGAATACCGTGGAATAGTTTTGTCCTCTAGAGTTTCTTGGTCATCCCATATTGTGTTGATTCCTAAGAAAGTATTCGGATCAACCTTCTACATTAAGAAGTTAAGACGAGCAGCTATCTCTCAACCTCTACCTTTACAGTGTGTTAACTCTTGCATCTAACCTACTTCACTAATATTGCTAATACAATGTTCCGAAAAAGTATATCGCACCAATCAAAGCACCCTGATTGCACTAACACACCAGTGCTTACGGAGAATTGTTAGGTGAATTGATTGGCAATCATTGGTGCATGTCACGGATGCCCACCATCCTTAAATTTGTTTAATTTCACCGTGGATATACTGATGGAAGTGACCCTAACTGACATTATCGACTTGTTACCGGCTGATCGACTTAGAGTATTTAGATTATATTGTTCATCTAGGAAATGTTAACAAAATACATAGTCTTCTGAACACCTTGAGCAGCAATCCTCGAATGAATGGCACGTAATGTGATCCTGTGAAATGTGAGATGATGTCACAGGACTAGACTACATAAACTCGGCTACGCTGGCCATTTCACCTATTTGGAAACTTCCATCGACCCTGTTGAACTGATTGCCAAGGAAATCTCGGTACAGATACAAAAGGGTTGTATGGCATCTTCCAGTTTATGTCACTTTTAACGTAGCAGTGACATCTGGCTATCAATCACAGGACGTGTGTACTCCGCAGTAGCTCCCTCTTAATTTATGGCTGTAAGACAGGTATCATAAGAAATAAAAAGGCTAGTTGTATTTGACCACGGTTGCTTGCGTTCCGTCGTGCTAGGTAACATAATATATTGAGCAACATTGAGGTCAGGAGTAGATTGTTAGGTAAAAAAGGGAAGCTAATCAGTGATGTTGTGATAGTGCGTCGACTGAGATGACTAGAGCTTGTGTTGCTTATGCTCAGTCACCGCCTTCTACGACGAGAGACGTTAGTTGACATAGGACTAGTTTCGAAAAGAGGGGTGGCCTAACCAAAACCTCCAATCAGTCCACTAAGTCTGGCTATTAGTTTGAGACAGGTAAGTAGATGTAGCTGGACTAACTGGACTAGGGATACTAAAAACCAATGACTTGTAACTGATGTTAACATAGCGTCGCCTAGTTAACTAGCTTGCTAGTTTTCTAGCTGGTTCCAAGCCCGGTTAAAGAGAGACAGCTGGGTGTGAGGCTAGTGACCCTGCATCACAAAACCAATCAAACTGCTACAGAAACTTCAACGCACAAGAAATATATTAAAAATACAAAACTGTAACAAACAAACCTATTCTTCGCTGGAATCAGAGAGGCGAAACGACGAGAGCTGATGAAAACCTTCGGAAGCCAGTCAGCCACCCGACGTCTCATCTTTAAATGAAAGCAAGAATAAGAATGGGGAAGTGGAATGTACATACAATGTATCAAGCTGAGAAGACTGACCAGGTAGCTAAAGAAATGAGAAGATATGGCATAGAAGTGGTGGGAATCTGCAAGAACAGATGGAATAGATGTGGACTGTCAAAATTGTCAACTGGCGAGTCAGTAATCTACTCCTGTCGGATCACCCAGACGACAACCATGAGCACACTGAGAGAGTGAGTGGCTGTCATGATCTCACCAGTGGCAGCCAGAGCCCTAATTCAGTGGGAACCAATTTCATCCAGGATCATGGTAGCAAGATTCAACTCAAAAGGAAGAAGGTTACAATTACTAAATGCTACGCACAGTGCTACAAACAACGCGAAACAAGAGAAGAAAGATTCTTATAGACAACTACAAACAGTAATGGAAAAGACACCAGCCAGATGAAAACATCAAAATCCTTATTGGCAATATGAATACCAAACTGGGAGCAGACAATACAGGAAGAGAACTCATCATGGATCGAGA